GTGCTTAGAACCAAAAAGGGACGATGAGACAGGACGCCGGAGAAAAGTAAATTATGAAGAGCTCCATCATTTGTACATTATAAAGATGATCAAAACAATGACAATAAAGATGGCTGTCTTCTGGGCTGTAGAGCAGTGTTGAAAGACGGCGCTATAATGGTAACCATGTTTGTTCTCATTCCCGTGACTCTTCATCCGACTGTCAAAGCTTTCCAGACATACCAGACAGCGTACTGGTTACTCACCCTACTATTATGTTACAGGCGTACTCTGAAATTCGAACACGTGTGATACAAACGCTGGCCACTTGAGCCAATTAACAGTTGCTGGCTGTGAATCCAGCAAGTACTTTGCATTTACACGAAATAAACAGGGGTATGATGCATGATTCCAGGGCTTCTTAAGACCATGAATACTAGTTAGCCAACAGTTTTAAGTGGTCCGCTAAAGTTAAATGTTCTATTAATCACGTGCGAGAGCGGATTCATTTCCCTTAGGATAGTTACCAATGGCGAGCAACTGCAAAAACGCCCATGAAATTTCCGACTCTATAAAAGGCAGGGAATTTCATTAGCTGAGAGACTACTGGCATCTCAAGACAGACTCTGTTCAGAGGAATGAGATAAATGGACTAATACGAAAACTAGTTCTGGAAAGGAATTAAGCCACGACTTTATTTTAAATGCAGCCATTTGTACAAAGAGACTAGCAGAAGTTGGTAAACTGACCGAGAGTAAAACAAATTATTAGTTCACTTATGCAGGTCTAAACTACCATAAAACTGTAAAAACACAGACCAAACAACGTCACACAGTTTGCGTCACAGTGCCTGCAAAGTTTCAAGAATTTCGTCCGCACCTAATGGAGGTTATGTAGTCAGCTTCAAGTTTGCTCCCGAGAAAAAGGTGCCCGGTACCTCTTGAATAGGAGCCTAGGTGGATTCCAGAGCAGATCGACGCCCCCCCAACCTCCCCAGACCAGGATTTTGTATTTCCGTGTGTGTTCATTATTCTAGAGGTCCATCTCCCAAGAAGATGGTGTAACTTGCCTGAACAGTAAGCAGTTTGTTGTCATTCCAGCCACATCTTACTGAGGCAGAACTTGTCGGCCGCGTCTCGGTTTGTCAGAAGACAGACAGCAGAATGATAGGTATGCAGAAACAAAGAAATGTAACTACTTTCTAACCTAGCAACATGCCACTGAGCGTTCCATAAATTCAGTTTTTCACATTTCTAGAAATACAGGAAAACTTTTATAACAAACGACTGTCTTTTTAAATCCACAGAGTAAAGACTATCTTCAGAAGCTAACAGTCGCTCTGCTATCAAAAAATTCCGGCCTTTTATGGTACCCGCATATAAATTATCGTGATCACAAGATTCCGCCACTAGGCCCTAATGTGAATCAGATTAATCCTGCCCACACTTTCGCACCCTATTTCACAAGATCCTCCCCCGGCGGTCTCTTACCTTCTGGTTTCTTGATCACCATTTTACGCATTTTCATCTCTTTTATGCACGATAGGCCACCCCACCCCCAAATCGCTTCTTCCTTGGTTTGATCGCTTCAGTATTTGATAAGGAATACAAATTATGGATTCCCTCGTTATGCTCCTCTCAAACACGCTCGACATTAAGGATTTGAGATTTTCACGGCGGTGAGTTTGAAGATGGCTGTCTTCTGAGTTGTTGCGCCGTGTAGTTTGGTAGAAGCTTACTAACGTTTCGGTGGTCTCCTTGCTGCCTACATGACACAACAACCATCTTCACGCTCGACATAATAATAATCCGTGACGTAACAGCCCTCTGAGAGCCAAAGCCGACTAGCTGACTGCTGGCCTCACGTTCACATGCCTAAGCAGAGGTGAACGATCATCCAACCAGATAGAGGATGATGTGTGGTCAGCACGACGAACCCCCAGCCATTGCTAGCTTTCCTGACCGGATTACGCTACTCATTGTAGCTCCCCAATTTCCTCACGATGGGTTGGCACCGGTCCCATACACTGGTCGAAAGCTCATGAAAAAATTTCTTCTCCCCCGAGACTCGAACCAGCGCGCATTTCGTATCACCGGTTTCCCTTAATATGAAACTGTGCGAGATAACAGTAAATTCGAAGGTAAACCTTCTTATTATAACAAGTTCTTTAGTCTTGAATCCAACCAAGTGCCAGACTTTATTCTGTAGAAAACAATAAAGAACAGGGTTTCCTGCAATAACATAAAAATTCTATCCCTTTGAGCTCCTACAGAAAAAAGGGATCACATTCTGAAAGTTTGAAAACTATATAGTAATACTAATGAAGAAATAAAAATACAGTTCGCCAATATTATATTGAAGAAAACGTTACAGCCAAGTAAATTAGATTTATCAAGGTTATGCAGGTTTAATTTTCATTTACTGTGATTCAGTTGTACTTATATGCCATACAACAGGAAGCATTAACTGAAATCCAGCATAATTTGTATTAGATTCATATAATATCAGAACTCTCCATTTACAATTCTGTTTAAGTACTTGTTTCTGACATATGGAGAAACAGATAAATTTGGAATCAGTGTTGAGATAGAACTGGTGTTTCAAAACACATGCAAGGTTACTGTCAGAATGATAAAACTTGTAATGATACTCTCCCCATTTCAAAGGTTACCTACATCAAATGAGATATAAAACTCATCATGATATGAATGGAGGGAAGTTCATATGGATGCTACAGGAAAAACCACAAAACATCTCAGTAATTTTACCAAGATTTGAGCTGGAAACTTCTCGGAGAGGCTACAGCATTTATCGCCACTTCAACTTGCATGGTAAAAATTCCAATTAGAAACACACTACTGCTAGATATACTTCTAGCTTGCAATTTTTAACACTTACAGAAACAGCCTATGACATTTTCTTGTAATATTTACATATCAAATCCTATTTCCATGTTTTCAAATCGTGATGAAAATAACATTATTAATGAAAACAAACAGACTGCAATTCTTTGAACATGTCCTAACATCAATAAACACAGAGCAGGCTAACGCTTGTATTTGAGAAGTACCCATTTCAAACCTTAGTCAAGTTATCAGTTATACCTGACTGATGGTTTTCCTCAATCTCTCGAGCAAAATTGTGAAATAGTTCCTTCAAACAGCCCTAAAAATTTCCTTTCAAATCCCCACTTACCATTCACAGTCATGTCAACTTATTTGATGCTACTTAACATCTGGATTTGAAGAAGTGCCATGAAACAACATAAGACAATCAAAAAAGTAAACAATCCTGATTTATTCTCAGCATGACCAATCTTCAAGACAGGCTACAGCCAAGTCATGTATGCAATTATATAAACCTTTACACTAGATTGGGCTCACTGAAGTTGACTGTTTCCCATTTAAACTTTTTAAGTCATGACAGGAAAACACACTGTCATAATAAATAATAACTTCAATATGAAACTGAAATAAATTGGTATTTAACAATAAAACATGTAACAAAAGCTGTTCAAATTATACACTTGCAACTTGAATGTAGTATATCTGAGCATGGCATATTACTTACAGTACACAATACATAGTATTCCACTAAAGTTGTTGCACCATGCAGTCTGGTGGAAGTTTACCAACATTTCAGAGGTCCTTGCTGCCTCCTCCATCACTCTTACAATTGTATTAATTTTGAAATGTTCTTTCAATGTACATGAATCAGATTAACACAGGGCAAAGTTCCAGCAATATAAATATAAAAGCCAATTCTTAGCTAGTTCTATCCACCCCACAACTCATTCTGCCAAGTGTATGCTACCACCTCCTTCTCAGTCTTCCAAGTAGCCACTTTCCAAGAGGTTTCCCCAATAAAATTCAAATGTATTTCTTGTTTCCCTAACCTCCTCCATTACAGGGTTCACACGCTGGAAACTGCTCAGCATTTTTGTCATTACCCTCACTTGATTTTCATTGCCTTCTTTATGGTTTGAATAAGTGACACCCAGATACAAGTGCAAATGGTACATAGGCACAACAAAACTCCTTTCATTTGTTTACTGGGTTCACACAATGGCATCAGAAAAATTATGACCACAGTTAGTCAACTCTTGTAGACATCACTACCCACAATTATTCGCATATGTTAGATAGGCTGTATTTATCTATGTACGCTACTTTCGGTTACGTTTTGCTTCAACAAAACGCTTAGCTGATCCTATTTATAAACAATTATGGATTATAACATAATTCAGCGACCTAAACGGCCTTGTCCGTTATAATTAGCATGAAACAAGCTCAAACAACTTTAATTTATAGGTCGACAAATGAATAAGCATCAAAAAAGTTGAAACATGCAACTCAATAGATGAAAGACTCCCGGATTACAAGCAGCGTCAGGTGGCTGAATGGTGAATAAACCGTATCTTCTCCCAACGTTTGGTGAACAATCTCTGCTCTCATCCTCACGGCTGCTGCGTAACAAATCTGATCCTTTGTAGCGCGTTAGCCGATGGGAACTCACTTTATACATGCAGCTCAATCTCTACCAAAACAGGTCATCAAGTACCGTTCAAGGACTTCTACACTGTAACTCACAGGACAATAAAATTTGTTACTGTTCTTGACCAAACCTTACAATACAAATGAGGACTGAACCACCAGCAAGTCAATTTCAAAGATAGATCCAAAGAAAAGGCGTGGTGCTATGCTACATATACACCAAATTTCTGACATTACTGGCCATCTGATTATCACATGTACTATTTCCGGTATTGTATACATGCTCACTCCCTCCCAGTCCAACACCTGTGATTTCACAGGCTAAACTGTCAAACAACACTCATCGTCACTGCAGCTTATTCAACACCAAACTCAATTCTAGCGTAACAACAAATATACAAGGCACTGAACACTGGGCCAATATCACTATATGGCAGCCATGCCAAAATGATTGGACAATGTAGAAAACGAGGCAGCCGTAGTACTTAAAAAAGTTCCTTTCAAGATCTTAGCCCAAAAGCAACTTACCTCTTCAGCATTTGTGTATCCTAGCAGGAACGTGCTGAGCAGAATAAAATATATCCTTAAATGCATCACCACACTGAAATATGTCGAACTGATTCGACTTCACGACGTCTTGATACACAAAACTATCAATTTTAATAGCACAGTGAACCCACTCACACCACACCACACTGATCAATGAATCCACTGCGCCTTGTGGGACTACTTTCAAGATATGTATGCGCGTATACATCCGGCAAAACACCGACGTCGGGGGAAATGAGTAATACCACCAAAAGAACTTAACTACGTAATACCAATTATTGCACTCATATGAACGAAGTGTAGATAAATAAAAATACATTGATCATAGTCGTCAATAAACTACCAATTTATCTTCAGACATACAACAGTTTCAAGTTCTGTAAACAATTCTCTCATCAAGGCCCTACGCCATGTTACGTATGAAAAACTGTACGGTCATTTCGTTTCGCTTTGAACATATAAATCACGTAAGATTTTATTTCACACATCGATCGCGGAGCATTGTCAGCACATACACAGCATATTTATATAATTCTGAAATATATGACTAGGGTTGCCAACGTTTACTTGTGCCAAAACAGTACATTTTTCTCACATCCCATCCCCTTAAGTATTTGTGTAGCGTATTTTATATTTTCGGTAGCCGAGCATCCTGGATGAAAGTCTTTTGCTCTTGTGGAAAAAGTTTCGTCAAATGCTGTAAAACCCTGAATCCACATTCTTCTCCTACCTGTTGACAAATTCTTTTCCTTTTTTAACTTACAGAATACTGGGTATAGTTCAGTGATCTGTGTGCAATTGCTTTACTTGTTAATGCTTAACAGAATCATAAGTGCTAGTTCTGTAACAGTTCATCAGGGACTTTTCATAATCAACAAATCCTGATATCGCTCCGCTCACATGTACTTCACCATGTCTTAAAAACCAAGACTTTATTACTGTCCAGCTTCTAAGAAATCTGTCCACTGCAGCCAACAAACTGAGGAAGCGAACTGGGATGACGAATAACATGTTTATTTGCACTGGATGAGAATTCATTCAACAATTTACATACAAGTTTCAAAAAGTTTTATGAAACGCACGTGTATTATTATAAGCCCATGCAAGTGCAGCGAACGCCTATATACACAGGTCTACTACAAACCTGCTTAATTACGATACTAGTGAGTACAGTTGACTTAACCATTCGAAGCAGATCATCTCAACATCTAAGAATGCAGTCCGTACTGCAAAGAAAATACAACACATCACCATTATAAATATACACATACATACACATTTTACTCATGAAACATAGCAACATTCTGTGTAAGCCATTACTGTATGGAATATGATAGGGTATTAGGTATCATAAATACAATTCATATGGACTTTACACATTCTTTATGTGGAGTTTAAAAATTATGCAACATCTGCCAGACATACACCTTTTCACACCTATGACATTTCATCTGGCAAAAACCCATTCACTGTTGTTATGGATGAAACAGTTCCACCAGGGTACAGCATGCTGTAATATCAGTTTTCTTTACCAGTCAGTCAATACAGTGATGTAGTTTAGGCTGATCATAATACAGGGAAATCAGTTTTGTACACTTCTATTTTATATGTAAGAATGTTGTACTGAAATGTGTGGGGATCAAATTACTTGTCTAAATGCCAACAGGAAAATAATTTAAAACAACACAGAGCCTAATGACACATATTTTCACAAACGTTAGAAAGATTAATGTCCCCACCGAGGTTTGTTGTCTTATAACAAACATGTTTGCTAATCGAGCTCATATTTCAGTAAGAGTTAAGTGATTCTTTATTGTGACTTTAAAATAAACAATATAATGACATTTTACAGGTATATATCTACATCATATGCAAAGTCCACTCTGTTACATAATAAAGTAATATGCACAAAAAGTATTGAAAATTATGCTCATAAAGCTTTTAATCAACAGCTAATCAGTCTGTAAAAGTACATTTTCAAAAACATTCCTTTACAGTAGTTCTATACAGTACAGATATGCACAAAGAACTTTAAGTGCATCATGGCGCAGCACATGCTCTAACAAAACATCTCCTGAAACACAAAGCACACAAGAAATGGTAAAATTGTATTAAAAACAAGTGTGTGATGAATGCATCCATATAGTACGCACAGATGTGGTGAACACATAACATCCAATTTCTGCCAAATGCCCCAAAAGTAACATGTATTTTCACATGTCCTTTGCACAATGTGCATGAAATTAACACATACAAAGGCTGACCATGTCTGTCTGTATGTATGTATGTATCATTCAGTTCGAGAACCAGTGGATGTGTTTCGATGAAATTTTGTATGGACATTATGCCACTGAGGTCTACCCTAAAAGTCTACTTTTTTAATATTCTGCAATGAGCAATACCAACATGGGGGATGGACAAACTTGTGAGGTGGGATCAACATTAGTACCACTTATAAAAGGGTCACAATAATGTTCAGAAACAGATAAATCGTTGAATAATATAAAACATGGCAGGTATATGAAAAAGAAAAAGAAAGCTGACCTGGACAGGATTCAATATCATGACCATAAACAAGTTCAGTATGCTACCACACAACTTGCATTATGTTATATTTGTACTGATTTACAGTATTTTCAGTCCTTTACATGCACTAAGAACGCATGACGTATAGTCAGAAACAAAATTCAAGTAAGATAACTGTGTCATCTAATACGAATACTTTTTGTTTAACATTTACTGACGGAGACTTTCAACAAATATGAAATAGGCCATACACTACACATTTATATATCAGATTACATTACAAATCAAAGCCTTCTGAATTTATGCTGTTCTCTTATTAAATAATTTCTGACAAACAACTGAATCAGCATAGAAGAAAGAAAATGCTTAAAACATATATTCATGCATTTCAGTAAAAACTGTCGTTCGTACATACGTCCTTGCTGCCTCCATCATGTCTCAGGATCTACATTTACAGTCATAACTACTCAGCACACACAAAGTTCACAATATATTCTGTACAAGATGTACTGTGAAAGGTAACATACCAGTCATCCTTTAGTGCTTGGACTTGCTTTCAATATCCTTCACTCTCTCTTTGTGGCGCTTTATTGCCTCTTGGTGCCGTTTCACTTGTTCTTCATGAAAACTAATTTCATCTTTCAAGTCCTCTTTCAGCTTCTTGAGTTGTTCCTTTTGCTATGTAAGAGGAAAAAAAATTAAAATATTTCTCCCATGTCTGATAAAAAAATATAAATTTCAGCATTTTAAGAAACAGAACAAACACCAAATTCCATTTACACAGTTTACAATTCGTATCACCTAACAGTTTGACGCACAAAGGCAGAAAAGGTATAACTAGTGTAAGATATATTTCATCAGAAACAACTAAAATGTTAATTAATTCAAATTAAAAAAGGCCAGAAATCTAGCTTAATATAGCATACTTTCACACCAAGTGCAATTTCCAACTTAACCTCTTTCAGACATTGATGAAATTTGATGAGGTTTCAGTCTACAGACAAAAAAGTCTTTTGATCCCTACATCTTACTGAAATTAAGTGCTAAGGTTTTTCTTGCACTATGAATATGTATCACCTGCTTTAACATTCAGAAGGTCTAAATTCTGCTCACATAGTATATTTATGGATTTCATACAATTATCGGAATAAATAGTGATTATATTCCTAAACAGTGTTAAACAATTAATCTTTGTAATGGAGACACTCTTTTTTCTTTTGAGATAGAAAATTAATATTTATGTGTTCTTTGTGCAATGTGGACAAAATAAACACATATAGGGCTCACCATGTCTGTCTGCCCATCTGCTCACATGATTAAAGTTGGGTGCTACAACCTAAACTCACAATTATTTACTTTCTACGATCAGTAACATATATGTTCATTTTACGCACATCGTGCAATGAGCATTATAACTTCTAGTTTAATGGTACCAACCTGCTTATAGAAAAATTCTTCTTCCCTGCCAGCTTCTATCTTCCCAAAAGCACCACCAGCTTCACGAATTGAACCTCCACCACCACCCCCTTTTCCAGCTCCACTACCAAGGTCACCCAACTGACTAGAATAATATCGGCTATAATATAAAAACACAAACATGGTTTTAAAATCATTTAAAAATAATTTATGTGGAGCAGCTATTAATTATGAAACTCTTATGTACAGTTTTAACGACATTGTCTTTAGATTTGTTAAACTCGTCAAAATCAATTACCACACACATTAGTTTCCACTTTCCCATGGAGCCAAATTATTTCCGTTTCTTTCTTCCTCCTGACACTGTGAACACATGGTCTGCACCTTCCATGCACTGTGTTCCATTCATAAGCTGTATTTATTATACACAAATATGAAGCTTGTCATCATCCATTTATGGATAAAATTTGTGATCAAAAACATTAAAAAGGTGTGATATGGAATCATGTGGGCTGCGTAACATAGTGAAGTGGCTCAGTACTCATGTATGACCATTTTAGTATTATCATGTTATAGAGTATCTTCACACATAAGATGATATACCAGTAACAGCAATTTAACCACTGCCATTTAAAAGAAATCACTGTCACTATCAGTTAATCAATATCTGACGTTGCTGTTCACATTGCACTACCTATAGGCAGCCATATCCAGTAGCCAGTAACAGGTTAGGCACTGGACCAATCTGAAATCACTTTCTGGTGACTGCAACAGACTGGCAGACTAGTGAATAATGAAGTGGAAGGTACCAGTATGTCATTACTTTACATCAACTACGAATAATTTTCACTGAAACTGATTAAAAATAACTGGATTGCTCATCTGATTATGCAAGACAAACACAATACGAATGGCTACAATAAGACATTAAAAACTTAGGGTACGTTTGCAATATAACCAGCTGCTTTAATCAATGAAGCAAAATGTTGCCAGACAAGAGGCTAGGAGTATTGGATAAGTTAAAATAGTGCTTTAATGTACATAACTGTAAATAAACCTAACATTCAGAAACAGGTATTAGTATTGTATTACAAAGCTGGTTCAAAGACAACTGAAAGACTTTATATCACACTTTACCTCTAATTATCAGTTTAATAACCCAATTTAATATAACCTTACAACAGCTAATAATTATGTATTTAGTATGCTGTGGGCTTCGTCTGTGTCAGTCCATAACTGTAGGACTCCACAGGAAGAAATACATAAATCAGTTTTTCCTATATAAAAGGAAGACCTGACAAAAAGACACAATTTTGCAAATGTAAGTAGCTTTCTGCACTTTGCTCTCCTCAAGATTCCCATAGAAAATAAATTACAGGGAACACATTTTCTTACGGTATAAAGTGCTGGTTAGCTTATATAAAACATTATCCTAGTAACCTAACGAATTACCTCATTATAGACAAACTAGGATAAAGACGAGAAGAAATATTATGTAACGAGTTCATGTTTTCCAATACGTTACGGTACCACAGTAGTCCAATTTACAATAATACCGAAAGATGGCGCATGAAGCAGTGAACATATTAGCACGGATACCAAACCCACATGAAGTAACTTCTTCACTACCACAGTTACAGACAAAACAGACCATAGATAATACCACAATGTTATCCAGGAACAGACATCTTTAGTCTAAGTCATAGACTCTATGAGTTGCCAAATCACCCTGACTAGGACTGCAAGCTCAGAAAGAATGTTTACGCAGAACGCTGCAAGTGGCGTGGTCAAAACTTACATGAATTAGGGGCAGTTCATTTGTAATAGACAAAACACATTTTCTTGTTTTAAATCGTTGTTGAAGTGCAGAACCTAAGACTTATTAGGTAATGATGAATATTTTTGATCGGTACATCTGAAACGCATTTTCTTTTGTCCTATCAGAACTCTCTGGGGTGGAATATCTACAACACATTTTTGTAGTGGTAGGAGGTATAGGTAGTGGAACCGTTTATACCCCTAGTTACTTGTAGTTTATATATACCAGACTATAATAGAGTTGTAATCAAGTACCACTATGCATTGATGTTTTTTCTCACACACAAATGAAGACAAACTGCAGTTGAATTTGAAATGGTTATAGATGGTTTGGGTTCAAAATTTAGAAATATTTTGATGTAAATTATACTGCTGCACACCAATAGTAATAGTGCTCACTGCAGCCTGCCAACTGTAATGGCTGATGTTTCACTGCCATCTATTTGTAATGGCAGTGCCACCTTTGAAATGTGACAAGCAGTTACTTGCTGTAAGGTCTATTTCCCATCATTTGGTAATGATTATGGGGCATTTATTTATTATTCCCAAAAGGGCAATGACAGTTACCAGTCCTGATGGTAACCGGCATGAACCACTGGGAGTAAATCCTACTCCAAATACTGATGGTGCAGTGAATGCAGCCAACCAAGTACCTGATCAACTCATAGGACCACACTAAGGTTGCAGAATGACATACTTCCTGGGGACAAGTACCCAATGCTGCCACTGTTGTACATAACATTCTGTATCATACAGTTATCCCTTAAACACTGAGTTATGATGGTGTAGAAAGTTCTGGAAATGGGGTGTTTCATTAGCCATGCTATGCATTAAGACAGAAGTCAGGATGTGTGATGATAACCACAGTTTTAACTTCACTGTTCAGACTGCTAACCTGCATGTATGATCAGGAAAAATTCATTTTGTATTAGCCTGATCATATAACACTTTCACCCTGCAGCAAAAAGATGACATCCTGTTTAAAACAATACTATGACTAGGTTTATTCAATAACAAATATAACAAGTGTAATACAAGAAAGTAATCACAAAATATAGGATGGCTAATCACACACTCGCTCACCAATTGCTAGCAACAAATGGAAGATACAACATTGTTCAATTTTTCACCAAAGATTTCCATATATAAACAGATAACCTAAAATTTATCAATAGTTTCCAACATACACATACCTTAAAATATTAAGATGAACAAGAGCCTCACCATCATAGTCACAGCACAACTTTCATCATTCAGAGTAAAACCCAGAATAACACATTTTCACAACATTCTCCAGAAGCATGTCTCTGTCTACTCAGTGATTCCCAGTTGCTAGGCAGGTTAGCATAATCTTAGCATCTGTATGATTGGTCATTTCTGTTTAAATAACTCCCATCAACTATCATGTAACCTAAATCTTGCAAAAAACACTAGAATTCTAAAATAAATGTATGCAGAATGTTTAGCCTAAATCCATTTCCCTTTTTGAATTTAAAATTATTGAATATTTATTAATATTGCTTCATAACTTTCAATTCTGAATGCAGAGAAATTTATGATTCAGTACATTATAATCTCAATGATTTGCACCATCTCGTTACTTTCAAACAAACACAAATTTCAAATTAAATTTGTAGCATGGTAATAAGTTTTAATCATACCAAACATCACATGCCTGTCTATAATAATTATATATAAAAAAACCTGTATCTGTCAATGTTTATTTTTTACAGTTTAAAGACATATGATGAAAATAAATGTTTCATATGTTTCAAATATGTCTTAATCTTGCTTCCTCTTAAAATTTCCCACCACATTTATTTTGTTGAAGAAAGTAATGGGCATAACAATGACCTCCCTCAGCTGACAGTTCAAGTTATCTGGAACAGTGGATTCACATGTGCATGCGCAGGCAGGCGCACACACAACTGCACACAGCCCTATGAGACAGTTTTTCTTTATGACATAATTATGAAACAAAACTTCTATTTTTTGGATAATTTAAACTATTATTCAGCTTCAAGATGCATATACTGTAAGATGGAAGAACACTTAAAACTTAACATAGGCAGCATTTTTGACACAAAAATATTTTGTCTCCATTGTGGCCCTTTGCAATTAAGGAGCGGGAAAAAGAAGAGAAGAAAAAAGGCCATACAAAAGCATTTAAAGATTTCTTCTTTTAGGAAAATAAAAGGACACTTCTTACTTTTGTGACAAACGTAACAGTTGTTTCCTAGCAATATCCCTGTTGATTTCTGCAGTTTCTTTTTCAATCCTAAGAATTTCCAGTTTAATCTCATGTTCTTTTTCCATAATTTCCAAGCGCCGTTGGTGTTCTTGTTCTCTGGCTCGTAAAGTTTTTAATGTTTGTTCTTCTTCAGATGAATTTACTCCTAAAACTTGTTTTGTAGCTGTTTCAGCTGTAAAGAATAAAGTAATGCAATACAATGCAGGAACGCATAAAATTCCTGTAAATGTTGCATCATATTTTAAAAAATCATAATTGTTTAAATCTTCCATAAAACTAAAGATATATCAAATACTGGAGTTTCGAATTTAAGACAACAGTCTTGATATCCAAATTGCTTGTACCTCTTTACTACTACAGGTTTACCGCATCATATCTTAAGTATGTGTAGTTTTTATTCTTAGGAGCATGCCCTATTTATTGTAGTGATACTGTACCATGCTGGCAAGTCATAAAAGTTGGAAGTTTTAATGGGCTCTATGATATTGGTCAAAATCAATTTTGTTTCTGGTATCTAGTTTGGTGTATTTAATACCATTTTTAATAGTGATTTAAAAAATGGAATACATAATTATCCACCACCCACAGTGCTGAGAAATTTCTAACTTTAATTTGCATTATAAAATATGAAAACACATAAAATCTATTGTATTGACATGTCTGATAACCAACTAACTCCATGGAGGAGAGTCCTTCTTTTATGGAAATCAATGTTCATTACTGTGAATCCAGTCCATACCCTCCCTATTACTTTAACATCCTTTTTTTTTTATTTTTTCCTCCCATCTACACCTAGGTCTTGTGAGTCATGTTTACCCATCACACTTTCCAACCAATATTTTATATGTATTCTCAACTCAACACATTTTCACAACATTCTCCAGAAGCATGTCTCTGTCTACTCAGTGATTCCCAGTTGCTAGGCAGGTTAGCATAATCTTAGCATCTGTATGATTGGTCATTTCTGTTTAAATAACTCCCATCAACTATCATGTAACCTAAATCTTGCAAAAAACACTAGAATTCTAAAATAAATGTATGCAGAATGTTTAGCCTAAATCCATTTCCCTTTTTGAATTTAAAATTATTGAATATTTATTAATATTGCTTCATAACTTTCAATTCTGAATGCAGAGAAATTTATGATTCAGTACATTATAATCTCAATGATTTGCACCATCTCGTTACTTTCAAACAAACACAAATTTCAAATTAAATTTGTAGCATGGTAATAAGTTTTAATCATACCAAACATCACATGCCTGTCTATAATAATTATATATAAAAAAACCTGTATCTGTCAATGTTTATTTTTTACAGTTTAAAGACATATGATGAAAATAAATGTTTCATATGTTTCAAATATGTCTTAATCTTGCTTCCTCTTAAAATTTCCCACCACATTTATTTTGTTGAAGAAAGTAATGGGCATAACAATGACCTCCCTCAGCTGACAGTTCAAGTTATCTGGAACAGTGGATTCACATGTGCATGCGCAGGCAGGCGCACACACAACTGCACACAGCCCTATGAGACAGTTTTTCTTTATGACATAATTATGAAACAAAACTTCTATTTTTTGGATAATTTAAACTATTATTCAGCTTCAAGATGCATATACTGTAAGATGGAAGAACACTTAAAACTTAACATAGGCAGCATTTTTGACACAAAAATATTTTGTCTCCATTGTGGCCCTTTGCAATTAAGGAGCGGGAAAAAGAAGAGAAGAAAAAAGGCCATACAAAAGCATTTAAAGATTTCTTCTTTTAGGAAAATAAAAGGACACTTCTTACTTTTGTGACAAACGTAACAGTTGTTTCCTAGCAATATCCCTGTTGATTTCTGCAGTTTCTTTTTCAATCCTAAGAATTTCCAGTTTAATCTCATGTTCTTTTTCCATAATTTCCAAGCGCCGTTGGTGTTCTTGTTCTCTGGCTCGTAAAGTTTTTAATGTTTGTTCTTCTTCAGATGAATTTACTCCTAAAACTTGTTTTGTAGCTGTTTCAGCTGTAAAGAATAAAGTAATGCAATACAATGCAGGAACGCATAAAATTCCTGTAAATGTTGCATCATATTTTAAAAAATCATAATTGTTTAAATCTTCCATAAAACTAAAGATATATCAAATACTGGAGTTTCGAATTTAAGACAACAGTCTTGATATCCAAATTGCTTGTACCTCTTTACTACTACAGGTTTACCGCATCATATCTTAAGTATGTGTAGTTTTTATTCTTAGGAGCATGCCCTATTTATTGTAGTGATACTGTACCATGCTGGCAAGTCATAAAAGTTGGAAGTTTTAATGGGCTCTATGATATTGGTCAAAATCAATTTTGTTTCTGGTATCTAGTTTGGTGTATTTAATACCATTTTTAATAGTGATTTAAAAAATGGAATACATAATTATCCACCACCCACAGTGCTGAGAAATTTCTAACTTTAATTTGCATTATAAAATATGAAAACACATAAAATCTATTGTATTGACATGTCTGATAACCAACTAACTCCATGGAGGAGAGTCCTTCTTTTATGGAAATCAATGTTCATTACTGTGAATCCAGTCCATACCCTCCCTATTACTTTAACATCCTTTTTTTTTTATTTTTTCCTCCCATCTACACCTAGGTCTTGTGAGTCATGTTTACCCATCACACTTTCCAACCAATATTTTATATGTATTCTCAACTCCCCCATGTGTGCTACATGCTCCACCCATCTCATCCTCCTTGATTTGATAATTCTAATATCTGACAAAGAGTACACATTACGGAGTTCTCTTTCTACAATTTTATGTAGCCTCCTGCATCCCTTCCCTTTTAGGTCCAAATGATCTCCTAGCAACCTGTTCTTAAATATGGTACCATCAATCCAAGTTCTTCCCTTATCATGGGAGACCAAGTTTCATGTCCATACAAAACATCTGAATTAAAATTTTATATATTTTAATCTTCATATTTTTAGACAGTTGTCAGGAAGACAAAAGATTCTTACCTGCGTGGTAGCAGGTATTCCCTGAAATTAATGTATCCTTCATCTCTTCATTAATGCAATTTTGATATGTTGGCGTTGTTCCCAGATACTTTAACTATGCCACATTTTCAACGGATTTATTAGTTGACTTTATATAATGATTTTGTCCCGTCCACACCATCAAAGAGAAATATTTGATTAACAATTAAAATCTGTACCTTCATGATATGCATTTGTAGGTGATATGCCTGACAATTGTCCAGCAATAATCTGCAAGCACATTTGGGTTCCATTTGCCCTGATACCATTTTTCGATCCTAGAGATGTCTTGGTGGAATCACCCTCCATGTTTGTTGCTCACCTCCCCTAGATTGTGAGGAAAAAATCTAATAGCAAATATGAGAAATGTGTTTAAGAGACATGTAATGTCCCTTGTTTTGTAAAACTCAAAAAGCTCAATGATGAATTCAGAACAGACGGATGATCAATGACTGCCTAAAAATGTTGTGGAATTGTTTGGAGCTGTATCAAAAGCACTAGTTCTCATAAACTCACTGATCTGAGAACCAATAAATATGCCCTCTTTTATTTTTGCTTTACTGATTTGAGGAAATTTGGTTTGAACACTTAAAGATAAAAATGCAGACAACATCCATATTGTGGTTTGCCAGGAAACACCAGAATTAACACAGTGTGGGTGACAATTGTGTATCACTGTACAGCATGATATAGGACACCATGCCACACAGTAGATGATAATGAATTTCTGCATATCAAAACTTTTGACCATGTTGGGTTTACTGCTTACTTATGGATGAATACAAAAGGACATACAAGGATATGTCATCACAGTTGTTTCAGGAACAAGCTGCCATGGACAATAACGAACTGTTCAACATCATGACCGGTGATGAAAGCTAGTTCCACCACTTTGACCCAGAAACAAAATGACAAGAGCATTGAATGGTATCACATGATATCTCCAAAAAACAGTTACAAGAACTATCTTCTGGGATGCTGAAGGATGCATACTGTTTGATTTTCTGTTGAAAAGGGAGAGCTCAAAGCAGCTCACTACATTCAGACAATGATAAAGATTGTGATGTGCACTTTGAGACAAATGTGAAATGAAAGACTGCCTTCCTTTAACACAACAATGTACAACCTCACACTGCATGTCTCACACTGGAGAACAGATGGGGAGTGCTCCCACACACACCATACAGAGTGTACTTGTCCCCAACACACTAAAACCTATTCATAATACTAAAAGATTACAAGAGGCCAGCACTATACAAACAACAATGCAGTCCAGTCTACTACAGTGGGATCTGTCAGCTAAGACAGCACTAGCAGAAATTAACTGATCAATTTGGAGATTTTGTAGTAAAGGGATAGCAGATGTCCAGGTAATAATGACTGTTTTTATGTGTATTTGTTTCGGTGTGATCCTGACTTTTGGTATGACCTCCATATATAAGAAAATACACAAATAAAACATACACAATCATGGCAAATAAATATCAATACATGAAAACGTTTTATCTATAATATGATACAATAACACTTACAAAATTCAGCTGGAGACTGATGAACAGAGGATGGCAGCATCATAGGAAGTACCGAAACAGTCTCAGGCTGAGATGACGTAGATAGCGATGGGCCAGGGACATTGGATGTTGTGGGAGAACAACAACTTGAATCCCCATCAGCCCTACTAAGGGTTGGGCTTCTCAATAGATCCACAGTGTTGGTGTCTTCTTGTTCTTTCTTTACTTCTGCAAATTCCTCCCTAAAAGGAATTTGTATGGTTCATTATGCACAGCAAGTGTAAACTGTTCATTATGATGAATCTATGAATGCCTGCACTGAAAGATTGCCACAGCAGCAGCAGCAGACTATTTATTGACTCTGTAATAGTACTATTAAGCTATGATTGACATATGAATTAACTTAACATTTCCCAGTCCATGCTTAAAACAGTGCTCTAGGTTTATTTGTTGCTTCATAGGACCAGTGACACTGCCACTTCTACCATCTTATAATACCTAAAAATGTCTGTAACTTTCACCAGTGTTAATTATGTGGTACCACACAAATAAAAAATTTCTTTCTTGTACTAATAACACAACATGGAAAGGGTTAGCTACTAGAGTCCAAGACTACATAATTAGAAATTCCAAAATGTAACAAAAATAAGAACATTCCACTATTGTGTTATAGAGAAAAACATATATATTATATTCCTCCAGATTTATTGGTCTGGTGGTGCATTGCTAGTGACTATAGCTCAGCTTCAGCCTTGAGATCTTGTTCAGGCCTGTATAGTTCCTTGGATGGAAGATTAAGCCACTGGAAATACTTTACCATCACAGGGAAGCACAGATAAACATGGAAAAACATCCATCATCCAAAGATTTGAATTTTTAATTTGAGTGTCTATGTAGCCAAAGATCATTGTCACCAGGAGTGGCATATTGTGTTTTGGATGTGTCACATCGGAACTAGGAGTGGGGGTCTCGGTATAACTTGAAACATTTCCAAACCAAAGAAGCCTCACTGTTGTCAATTTGAAAATTAATAAAGCAAAATAAAACTAAATAAATTCAACATATGGGCTCATGCATTCCAACTCTATTGTGACCACAGTTCATCACAATGTATTTATATTCATTTGTACCTTAGACCTAACTGCAATAACAGATTTGAATCTCTAATAAATAAAAATCAAGGCCAATCAGGTAAGCAAAATCACAAACAAACACAAATGGTAAACATGTCTATTCCAAACTGGAATACACCTCTGCACTCTTGTAACTTACTTTTCATAGTACTCGCCCCATTCAGTGTGAGTCACGGGGTATACCTGGGCTGCTTCTGTATTGGGCTGCCTGAAGCTTATAGAATGACGAGTACGAAAACTGTCCAACCAACCATTTGATGCTTTAAAGTCAGTTTTACCCAAGTGTTCTGCTGCTAATTTTGCTTGAGCTTGTAATAATGGTCCAGTAACATTAAAATTGTTAGATTTTGCTTCAACAAACCACTGCCATACAGCTTTATTTACTTCTTCGTTCCCAGTTTTTCTGAATTTTCTCTTTCGTGATCCAGCTCCTAGAAGACACTGTTCAAGTATTTCGGACTTCCTTTTCAAAATTTCATAAACTGCAGTCTTTCCACATTTGAAACGCTCTGTCAATTCTTTCACACTTAAACGTTCTGTTTCGCTACAATTTATAAGTGCCGCTTTTTCATTTAGAGTGAAAACACGCTTGTTGTAACTCGTCCTTGTAGGACTGGAAGTGTTCACGGGAATGAAAGGTATTTCCACACTTTTGGCTTCTTCCATCCCTGACAAAAACTTCAAATTTATAAGTTCATGTCGAGAAGCAGCCAGTATTTCAAAATCGTAAAATATGGGAAGGAAATTCATTTACCACTCCACTTTTAGACATCTATAGACATACTGTACACCACAGGAACGCTCCAATCCATTCTGATGTAACGTATCCCTGGAATTCTAGACACTTTGAATATCAACAAGGACAATAACATTTTAAGTGGAATCTCCGGAATAGCGATGAATTTGTGCAACTATTCTTTATCGATTTTATCTCCACACACTTCTGAAACAGATGTGAAACCGGATATAATTTGTTTCAGACAGTTCGTTGGAACACTCCATGTCAGATAAAACGACGTATGCTTTCGCTATACACAGATTCCGTGCCACAAAATTGTAACGATTTGTGTAAGAAGTAAACTTAGAAGTTCGTATTTAACCTAAAATTACTTACGGATCTTCTAATTAAACGTTAAGCGTACTAAACCGCAATCACTAGCAGGTGGATTACTTATCATAGATAACATATCTAACACCCTCTCGTTTAAAAGCAGGAGCATTGTCGCCAACGTAACAGAAGAAACATTACAATCGGACAAGATTGAAATGGACATTAAAAACATTCAAACAACATAAAATAAGAAACACTTGAAATAAAATGTAACTTTAGAATACATTAAAGATTATAGGGGTTATTATGAATGATGTATAACTATGTTCTGAAATGTGAGTTTTGAAACAAAATTCAGTACCTACTTTGCGTGCAAGAGTGGACCTTATACTATCCTAATAGTAAATTATGGTGCGGTTGAAAGCTTAACCGTTTAAAAATATTTAGGCATGCAATTCTTACCAGTGGTTGTTTGTAACATTTTAAGGGTACCTACTGTATATTTGTACTAATCTGCAGCATTCAGCGACAAGTGAATGTATGACGTTGTTACTCTGAATCTCGCTAGGGATCTGCAGCAACAATAAACGCATAAAGAAATTAAAATTCGATGTATGTGTGGCACCGCTCAGTCATTTACTTTTGAACAATGACAGCTACAGACTAGATGAGGCGAAATTTCTTAATACTAGGGCAGAACGCTCCTTTCGGAGCTCCTCGGAGGGGCTGGTCAAGTTTTTAAAAAGCAACCAACCCCTTTTGGGGGGGGGTTGGTTGGTTGCGTTTTAAAATCTTAAGTAAGACACTAAACTCGGCATTGTTGTGTTCCACAACAATGCCGTGTAAACAAATATCTGTTGACATTGTTGATGACGTCATTTTTTTTGACGACAAATTGGTTGACGACAACGACTAATCAGAAATTTTTATAGTAGATTTAGAGCTTTCGTCTGCTAACGTTGCCTTTTGTCCCTGTAGTCCCCTAAAAGGATTTAGAGAAATAACGTACGCACGCTTATCTCCGTATCCCGAAATTGTTTCCTTATTCCTCCTGAATCGAGGACCGTCCGAACCAAATAATCCGATATTACAGGTATTACCACAAAAATATTTATTTTCTACTGTGTCCAGAAATGTGACAACTAAACATTCAACGCCATTGTACTGAATAATTATAATTATTAGTTCAATGGTTTCTTCAGTTGTGCTTGTTTGTTCATCGTGTATACTTTCAATTGTTTCAACATGACGACAGGGTCAGCTTATTTGGGGCCACAGGCGAATCTTCAGCCTTCCTCCTTCCCCAGTTAGTTTCAGAAAATGAAAATTTGGCATTAGTATTACCAAAATTGTGTTAACTGGTCACACCGTCGACTTCACTACACACGCACATCAACTATATGTACACTCACACGAGATAAAAAGTACATGTTTACTGTTTCCTTCTGTTGTGCTCTTTCTATTTTTAGGCGCTCATTATATTCTCTTTTAAGCAGTTTTCGTTTCTAAGTATCATCCTACTTTGTTTAGTGGTTAAACCGGTTGTGGATGGGGAAGGTAAGGTAACAGTTTCACTACGTAAACCCATATTCTGATCAAATCCCATAGGACATACTTTCTATATGTGGACTTATTTTGTTTAATCAGATCGTACAGTAGAGCTTTTAATACGGACTCACAGCAAGGCGTTTTTGTTTACGCTTTACCAGGGTCAATTTTGGAGAAGCAATTTTATTAAGTTTGTTTCTGTTTCTCTCTTTACACATTAATTACCCTTGCTAACGATCTCCCGGCTCTCTTACACTCTCAACAAGCAGAGAATACTGACAAGTGATGTGGCGTATTGCTTGCTGGTAGAGGTTCGCTTGCTGCAAGTAAAATATCATTGTGTTTTAAGATCTTACACGTAGTGATAAAACGGACGTGACGAAATGTCAGCGATTTCTAAGGCGCTGATAAAACTGCCATTGTCTTGAGAATACGCTGAGAAGACAGCTGTGATGTAAGAACAATGGACGAAAACCCTCGTAACTGGGCAGAGCGCTGCGTTCGTTTTTGTGGCAAAGTAATTTCTACTAATATGGAAGTGGTTTGTAATGTTAGGTAAGTTGAGTTGTCAGAATGTGATCACATTGGACCTTATCGACGGTTTTACTAAAACTGGAGAACTTTATCTCGGAGATCAGTCAAGTGTCGGACCAGAGAGGAAACACTTAGCATGGGCTTACTATCTGATAATGCATCCCTATCAAATGACTTCAATGTCTCTCGCAAAATATACTTTCTGCTGCATGCGAACAAACTATAACTGCAATTGCTCTAATAAGAACTACTAACGTCCATTACTCCCACCCATCATGGGTAATCGACGCTATATAGTCTAAGCTAGTGAAAAAGCGTCGTTAAATAAAATGTAAATAAATAAATATTGTGGATAATGGTACGGTAAAGTTGCCCCTTGACTGAAGTACCACGCTGCGGAAGTGCAAAGGCGCATGGAGGTAGAACGCTTCAAACATCATTAGCCATAACACAAGGTAGAAATAAGTGGTTAGCTGAATGCTCCGGCCAGTTTATCCCCAATACCCATTGGTATGCTGCTTGGGGCCCATCTCCTTTGACCGAACTGTCCAAAAATGTTCGAAAAAGGACGGGCTAACAGGTGATTTAGATAGTTTTAGTATAACATGTGCGAGCGAAAAACTGGGGATACGATACTTTACCAAAGGTTCGCGCGTAGTGGGAAAAAGATCCTGCTCTTATCTTATCGTAAGCCGTCCACTTGAACCTATCGGTGTCGAGGATTAAGGGGCGCCATTTCCTTCTGTGAGACTGAGACCTCGCTCCTGCAAAGCGTCTGAAACGTCGTCGAGCCACTTCCGGCGGGGAAGGCCTCTCGATCTGCGTCCCTCATCTCTGGCTTCGTGCACTAACGAATCGTCTGGTTGCGAATGCGATCTCTGCTATTCTTCCACTCTACCTTGCGAAGGTAACGCATTTCGGCAGCTCATACTCCAGACTGCCGTCTTCCACAGTTCCTCTTCATAAATGTTGGAAAAGTATTTTAACTCATACCATGACCACTTATTGTTTGCTTATCCAAACTATTGGTTTTGTTCACCACTTCCTAAACAATCCTGCCTGTCTGATCCGTCATTCAATGGCACACAGAACTTATATGGTGACGTGTTGAAACAAGCAAACAGGACTTCAAATTTTAATTACCTGTGCGCATCAAATTCACCCCCATTATTTTAAAGAAAATTATAAATGTCGTAGTACTTTGATTTTAAAATGTACTTTTTCACATTTTAAAGTTTCTGCAATCGAGGTTCGTCTTACATTTGAGTGAGTCTAAGAATCTATGTTGAAATAATAATATTGTAGCGCAAAGAAAATCTTCATGTCCATACACTGATCATGGGACAGTAAAAATAAAGATAGCAACAAAGAATATTCCGAAAGTATCAATACAAAGAAATTTTGTCTGAATTTTGAAAATTCCTATTGTGCTTAGTATTTCTTTTTATGCTTTCTGAAAACTTATCACGGAGTCAAGGGTGTCCGATAATCGATGACGTCATAAAGTCGAGAAACTAGAACTCGGAGTTGCTTGTCCTTCGATAGTGCCAGGGGTCGATCTATAATGCCGACAATACAGGAAGCCCCGATTCTTTGGTAAAGCGTCACGTGATGACAGGGTATTACGTAGTTACAGTTATCAGTTGAGAAACAAAACGTAAGTAATAACTGTGCACTAGTTTGGCGTCTCTTAAGCAATTATTTTTTTATTTATTATACTTTTCAACGGGTCTGGGGCACACCCAGCATCGTGTCCAATGGGTACCGTGGCACTGTCCCGGGTGCAAAGCAGACCCGAGGCGTGTCGCTGAACACACACCCCTATCTTGTTCCGAGGTTAATATTTAGGAGCTATACCTTCTCGCCCTCCATACGCCTACATGACGTTTAGTGTGACAGCTTTACTTTTTGTACTATTTTTTATCGATTGTGATGAAATGTAATGTTTTTTCGTCCTTACCAATCAGTATGTGTTGAATAAACTTTTACAACTATATTCACCAAATTGGAAGATGTTACACATAAAAGTAAGAGCATAATGTGAAATTACTCGTGTTTAATTTTTATGAACTTTCGGTAAGGGCCACATTGTCCAGAAGTAATGAATGTGCAAGTGTGATATTGGACAAACAGGATCGGCATATAACTTGATTTTGTATAATGTTTGTCTTTGTAAATATTTATGAAATGGGTAAACTGAGTCAAATTTATTTCCACGAGATTCTTAATGAGTGTTACGCTTTTGTTTTTACTTCTGAACTGCATGAAATGAATACATAATGGGAAGTTCCTGTATGTTTGTGTATCTGCCTAACTGTTTCATCTCTGAAACTTATTATCAACATCTCATTATACCCATTATATATGGGTTGATGCAGGGGTGTAGTTCTACAAATCAAATTATACATGCTACGAGTTCTGACTTTTATAATGCATATTTTTTTTTAAAGTTTTTAGAGAGGTGTTCTCCATATCTTATATTCCAGGGATGGGCCTCCAAGCCTGCCTGCCCTTGCCCATTTGAGTTCAGTGGTTTTGAACAAAGTGCCAGGATGGCACCCCAGTACTCAAAAAGTACCTAATTACCCATCTCTCAGTTATTTTTTTGTTTTTCTCTGATCTTCTTTCTTACAGTCTGTCCTACTTTATATCTAATAGAGTGAAGTCATGATCATGGTCATGTGATGCTGTTATCACAGTCATCCAACACTGATGATGTGCTTGCTTAATTTTCTTGCCTTCATATTTCCTTCATGACACTGGAATACTTTTGCTTTTCAGTTACGATGACTGACAATCAGAACAAAGAAGATCGAAAAGTGAAGAGGAACCATCACCAATCACAATCACATGATTCAAGGAGCAGGAGGGCATCTACCACCAGCCAACATAGAGTATGGAGGCGTAGTGATTCAGAGGTTAGGACCCACCAGGAGATCATACCCCCTAGACATGGAGAAACAAAAAACAAAGTGTGGCGTAGCAGCTCGGAGAACAGGGCACACAAAGGGGTTACATCTCCTGGAATTAAAGTGTTGCAATATGGAGGATTGCATAGAGAACTGAAAGATAAGACACATAAGAGGGGTGCATTCCTAGAACCTGACGAATTAAAAAACAGAGCGGTACAATGTGGCGCACAGGATAAAACTCACAAGGAGGTTGCATGCACTGAACCTCGAACACTACAAGATAGACAGCGACAAAGTCGCTCAGTAGATAGGACCCATCAGGGAGGTACTTTTCCTGGTCCCAAATCATCACAATACAGACTAGGGCAAAGTATCTGTGAGGCAAGTATCCACAAGAGTGGTAGAAACCCTGGAACTGGAGTGTCACGTCACAGACTGGGGCAAAGTGGCTCAGAGAATGGGACCTTCCAGAGCAAAGAAGTGCCAAACACGAATGACAGAAGGGTGACAGTGGCAGTAGTGATGAAGCTGCTAGCTCAGAGGTATGGGGGTTATGTGGGCACAAAGGAGGCAGCTGAGCTGGTGCAGATATGCAAGCCCGAGTTCCTGCATGAGATTGAGGTCTTTGTCAGCAGTTCTGCACCAGACACAGACTTTCTGAGTGACTTTGCAACCTTCTGCCTCAGTACCTTCAAGTCTCTACCAAGCAGTATATGCACCCAGTTTCAGAATGCCCTTATTATATCCCTGCAGATAGTGGAAATTTCTGGTGATGCTGCACTTAAGGATCGGTTCACTAGATTGCAGGCGAAATTGGCAGAGCATATGCACAAGCTAGAGGAGCTAGATGCCAGGTTTACCAAGCAAAACTTTCGGTCTGTACCTGTGCTGCCACTACAGGCAGATGCCTTCCAGTCCTCTTCGGGTGGTGCGGAAGTTACAGTGACCAGTGTTGAGCAGCGCTATTTGTCTGTGCTGTTCTTTTCTCTGTATGAAGCTTTCATGGGTCGTATTCGCGATGGTATCAGGAGCTTCCGTGATTCAGAGAATGCAGCAATCAAGCTCAAGTGTAACATGCGCTTTTTCCGAGACGTGCAGTTCATGAGCCCGGTTGTTGTTGATGATCGCCTGTGTCTGGCCACAAGTCTTGCACCTTTGGACCATCTCACCACTGGTACACTTGTCTGTTTTAGTTGCAATGGTTTCCGATCACTTCTGTTTGCCACTGTTGTCCGTGCTGACAGCCAGATTGTAGTGTGGCTTTTTGGTAACTTTGTCCTTAGGCAACTGTTTGAGCAAAAGTATGTGATGGCTGACAGTGGGCTGTTTGCAGAGCCCTCTGTCAGTGTGCTGTTGTCACTGCAGCAGTTGCAGGTGGTGCCACTGAAGCAGTACCTAGTGGAAGGTGCCACAGTAATTGTGCACAAGCATCAGATACAAGAGCAGTCTGATCTCGACTCATGGCAGCATGAGGCCTTCAGCAGTGCTCTCACTCATGAGCTGTGTGTGGTTCTGGGACACCCAGGTTCTGGAAAGACATATGTTGGATGCACAGTGGCGCGTAACTCAAGGCCACCAGTTCTTGTAATATGCAAATCACACAGCGGGTTGGATTTTTTCTTGCGGCAGCTGGCCCCGCTCAGTGTTGCACGGCTCTCCGACAGGACGAAGCATGAGCATAACCAGCAGAGAAGGAAACTGTGTGAGCAAAAGAATGTCATGTGGAAGCACCTCAGGACACTGGAATTAGATCTGGCTCTGTTGGCACGCAATGATGGTGTGGTGTCACTGTCATCTCTTCGGGAGAGCGGTGTGGTGTGTGATGCACACTTTTGGAGTTTCACACGTCTACCAAACATTAACAGTGTGTTCTACAGTTGGCTTATAGATGAAGCAAAGCCTTCTGATGCGCAGCCCATCCCACATAGCCATGTATCATTTAGTGGCATCTCCCCTCTGTCCGAACATACTGTGCTGTCTGCTGTGCAGTCATCACTCAGGTGGGCAGAACGCTTAGAGAATGTGGAAAGGCAGCGTTCTGATGTGACCACTAATATCAGGAAACTGCAGGAACAGTGGGGGAGTGGAGAAGATGTGACACAGGAGACGCATATTCAAAGGAAGTTGTACCGTCTTCTGGCTTTCAAGTTACAGCGGCTCAGGACGCGGTTGACAGGGACTTTGCCAAGTGATAGACTGAGGACCTGCCGTGATGTGTGGCAGCTTAAACCAGATGAGCGCTGGGGTCTGTATTTTGCATGGGTAACTTCTCTGCGTGCCAGACTGTTAGACAAAATGTCATATCTGCAGGCTCAGCTCATTCTGGAGGACAGGAAGCTCAAACTTGCAGACCAGCTCATAGACCTTCAGATAGCTCAACAGAGGGCAGTAGTTGGAGTAACAGCAGAGGAGGCCACAAAGCTGAGGTCTCTACTGGAGAAGTTGGCACCTAAGACAGGTATGTGGCAAAAGTTCCAACACTCCTAACAACAGTGAATACATTTTAGTTCCATCCAGTTCACATTATCAAAGCAAATTTTCATATGATATAATCTAGCCTGTTAAGGAAAGACAGGCATGTGGTTTCATGTTTTCGTGTGCCTTTGCCTGGTCCTGCCCCCTCTTATTAACTTTAATTCATGTGACCAATTCATTTTTATGCAACTTCCAGTGATGGCTATTCTGCAACTCGTCACATACATCAGTACATATTTCACTGTTCTGGACAATGGGGATGAAAAAGATGTTGGATAAAAAGAAATGGGAAGGACACTGAAAAAACTTTCTAGGATTAGGGATGAAATAGGAACAATCATAGGTGGAAAAGGAAATGAAAGCAAAAGGGAACAGAAATATATTAATACAGTACTTTTGAAATGCTCGCCAAACAGTCATGGTAATAACAACTGTTGTACAATAAGGAATTACCATACTGTTGTCCTTGTTATTATTATTATGCAGTGAAAGTGAGACTGTATTGGACTAAAATTTCAATGGTTTTTGGTTATTTTGCTGCAGAGTATGAACACTTTGATGAATTGTATAATAATGAAATGATCAATATAGCAGACAACTTACATAAAATAATGCATTCAATGGAAAGAGGTGGTGGGAAAGGACAATGAAGTATGCTCTTGAAGATGCTGTGCAGACAATGAAGGATCATTTTATAATTGAGGAACTGAACAAAATGGAAGAGATTAAACCAAAAGCTAGCTACAATTTTAATTCAAGAATGAATTTAGTGTTTTCACTTCAAAATATCTGAATTCTTCGTATATAAAATCTAAAGTATTAATTTTGTTTCCCTAAATATAAGTAGTGTTGCCCTTGGCGGACTAGTGGTTCGCGGGTTCAATCGATGGATTTTTAAGGTGATAAAAACTCGTAGCACAACTTCCTTCAGAGGAGAAGTAAAGCCGGCGGTCCCATGTCATAGATTTATGGCATGTAAAAGAACTTTGCAAGCATGATACAAGATGTTTCGAAGCAAAATTCAGCGGCCATTTCTCACCCAAGTCTCCTGATTAACTACTAGATGACTCTGGTGTCAAATCAGGATTGAGTAGAAATTGTGCAGAGTCAGTGGGATGGTCACTTACTACTCGTAAATGCACACTCCAAGACCAAGAAACCTCCGAAAAAGGAGGTGGCGAAAACCCACAACTGGGCTGTAGAGCCAAGAAACGACAACAAAAAATATAAGTAGTTTTAATAATGAGAACTATGTAATATTATAAAAGAATGAACACCAACATTTTAAGAACATGTGCATGCAATTTACAATTTTTTTTAGATTTTTTAATGTAATTTTTGTATGGTCAAAGTTGTGTTCTTGTGTTATGCCACTACAGAATAAATAAAGTCAAATATGGATATTTCTGTTGGCAACTGTGTTATAATGAAATGTCTGAATAAATTATAGTCAATTTAAAATACAAACCACTCGTTCATTCATTCATTAATAGTTTAAGAGACTGAGTAGTTGTGTGTTTCAGTGATTGTGGATGAGGCTACCAACATAACAGAGGCTCAGCTAGTGACCTGTCTCCCACAGTCCTGCCAGCGGATTGTGTTACTGGGTAAGTGTTCCGTGTTTGGATACCTTGCTGCTGTACAGACTGGAGGTATATGTGCTTCACATGTCTGGTTGTTTCAGGAGAGCCAAGGGCTGTCCAAGATGCAGCAAGTCTCCAAAAGGCCCATTTGGTGAGTGTAAGAGGCCAATACATTACGTGACACCATATTCAGGATTTAATTGGTTTGGGGAATATGAATGGACAAAAAGTATTCATTGTTACTAGGATTCAAAAACCAACTCAGTTTTTAGACATAGTTTTAGTCTCTACGTCACAAGATATATCTCTGCTATCTGATTTTTGCCCTGACTTTTATTGCAGACTTCTTTGAGAAGTGAGTCCAAGAATGAAACAGGTTTGTATGGATTAGACACTAGTAATTGCAAGGTTATTTATTGATGAATAACATTTCAGTTATGAATATGTATGCAAAGAAGTACGACTGAAACAGTTGTGGCCTACTTAAACATACATTCCAAGTGTTTGCCAGCAGGGACTGAGAGGAACCATAAAAAAATGTAATAAACATAATTACTTTATTTTTCAGACTATAAAGATTCAGGATTTTCTTTTAATATAAATTTTATGTTGTATTCGTATTTAGACTTAATTAAAGAGGAATAAGTAAACTTTGGGAGTGAAGGCCTCATGAGAAATAAAACAGTGGAGACAGGATAAACATTCCTAAACTAATCTAATTTCTCCTTGTCTACTGTCTCCTCCTGCTCCTCTCATAACTTCCATTTTATTATAATGGTATTATTCCATTGATAGTAAACATGGTGCATGAAATGAAACTCACAGAACACTTGTCAGTTTTGTGTAAGGACATCTTATTTTTGCACAGAATGCATAAATTAATACTTAACAAGGAAATTCATCGCTTATTTAACGACACTATCAGTAGCTCAGACTTTACTACATCGAATGATGGATGATTAGTGAATAATGAATTGGAAAGGACTTGGAAGGAAGCAGTCATGTCCTAATTTAAGGCACTGTCCCAGATTTTCCTGGAGGTGTCAGATTAAAATCATGGAAACGTAAGCTAGGAGAGTTTGGTCTCTGGGCTAAGATTTGAACCAAAGACCTGAATATAGCAAGAGTACTAACCACTTCCCACTTTCTTTGGTAAACAAGGAGATGATGTCTGTCCATACATACACATGTTTCATATACAAAACTGGATCCATTCAGATTAAATTCGTTACTGGAAGGTTCTACACCATAAGTTGTTGAGTAAATTTCATTTTGTGTGATACTAGACCAGTGTGAGCCCTACTTCAGATGACAAACAGAATTTCATGGATTAAGTTTTCTCAAAAATTGTTTAAAATAAAATATATTGGTAAGTTCCACAAAATGCTGATGAAATTAATACAGATATTGATGAACTGTGAAGCTACATGCACATCCTGTCTTTACAGCCTCATTTGCACAGCCTAGTGTACAGACTGGTTGAAAAGGGGATACCTATCTCAGAACTCAAATCACAGCATCGCATGCAGTCGCAGGTGGCCAGAGTCATCGTGCCAACACTGTATCCTGGATTGGAGGACCACAGCAGTGTTATTAACATAAGCAAAGTGAAGGGTGTCAACCAGAATGTGTTCTTTGTTACTCATGAACATTTGGGAGTCAAGGTACATGCCTGTATTGCAGAATGGCTTAATACTCCTACAATACAAATGCCCTTTGTAGCCCAACATATATTTCTGAGATGTGATGCTGTATAGACTTACATGTAAATACCAGTATCTTCAGGAATGAAGCTGGAGACATATGGTTCTCCAAAACGTTGGTACCTACCTACGAGTCTACATGGCATCACAACCCAGAAGAACAGCATCATCATCGTGAACAAATTTATGGTGAAACTAAGTATGAACATCACACTGCTGAAGACTTGCCTTCTTTCATGCTTTTTAATTTACTACAATTGATAATACCAACATGAAGATCATGCAAACCACTGAGGTTGTATCTACACTAGTGTCATTAAACATATTTCATGTTTTTTAAGGGAATTCTATTACAGAATTCTTGAGAAGCATGTGAGGATGTGGGCTGGGTTCAACTGGCTGAGGTTAGGGTCCAGTGTGAGGCTCTTGCGAGTATGTTACCAAGCCTTCAGATTTCATAAAAGGCAGTGAATTCCTTGACCAGTAGGGACTGTCAGGTTCTCAAGACAGAGTCTGCTGCATGGAGTGAATTCATTTATAATAACTTAAAATGAAATATGTGCCTTACCTCATCTGACATACCTGAGGTATGTTCCTTCATGTGTCCTATCAAAACATGAGGTGTGTTCCCACTGTCTCGTGTTACAAAGATGTGGTCCATTCAGGAGGGTCCAGTCTGAGCACCTGAGATAGTTATGTAATGATAGTTTCCTCCAGTATTTGTGAATCCATCTTCATCTACCAAAACAATGTATCTTTTTGAAATTTTTGTTCATTAGTCAGTTTTTGTTTGGCTAGGTTGGCAATGTCTCTGACTACCAGAATTTGCATGAGGCTGACTTTCTGCTTGCACTGTGTCACCACTTGGTCTTGCAAGGCTATAATACGCAGGATATAACAATTCTTACAACATACCCCAGCCAGCAACAGTATCTGCAGAAGGTGAGAACTGCATAATGCTTGGCTTTCTAAGGAATTTACTGGAGACTTTGGCAAGTGTGATATGATTTTTCCCTCTGGAATGTAACAACTTGCTGTTTATCTTGCTAGTGACTTCCTAGAGAGGTTAAAATATTCTGATGTGATGTTTCCCACAGGAATGTGAGAGCTCATTACTGATGCAAGGGGTGCAAGTCTTACTGGTTGAAGACTTCCGTGGCCAAGAATGCAAGATAGTGCTGGTCTCTACAGTGCATCAGGAAGGATCACGGCCAAGCACTGCAGAATACATCAGCGTGATGCTGACACGTGCACAGGAGGGCTTGTATGTTATCAGCAATCTGCAGCAGCTTGCCAAAAGCAACACAGTCTGGCATTTAGTCCAGAAATCATTGGAGAAGTCTGATGTAGTTGGCCTGCAGCTGCTACTCAGGTGTCAGGTGAGCTAGTGTTTTATACTTTAGTACCTCTTTGTAAAGAAACAGGTATACCTGGTGCTTAACTATGCACCATACCAGGCAGATGAATGGGGGAGTAGAGGTGTAGCTTGACATGTTCTGAACTTCAGCACTAGACAGAGGTGTGTGGTTCCATTTTGTATAAATTTGAAAACAGCTATCATATCCCTATCTGTAACATGAAGTGGCTGCACTGTGGCTGTTTAGTTGCTCAGCTGGTCAAGTCTCTTGCATTTTATGAACTTGAAAATTCAGTACCATGTTCACAACAATCTGGCACTGGATTCTATTCTGAGCCAGATGTACTCAGATTTCACATAGTTTCTTTAATACATATTTGAATATTGTCCTTTCATATGTCTCCTAAGTTGTATTTTCATTTTTCTGATTAAACTTTTGTAGGAATTTCTCATCTGCCCTGTGTGAGCTGCACTTCATTCTCCTGTTATTTCCTCTCTCTTGAGGTCAAATATTATCAACACTGTTTTCAGACACCAGTAAATAGTTTGGATTGTGGTCATCTAGGTCATGATGCCATTTCCTGTCACCTGAAAGACTACATGGCATCATAATGCAAAGACCAATATTTGAATTTTCACTACTGTGACACCTCAAATCTTATTATCAATAAGTAGCATAACCTGAAATATGATATTTAACATTTTCACAGTGGTGAAAAAGTGAATTGTCTTTTGAATGCTGTTGACCACCTACCAGACTGTATGGCTCCACAATGAAAATGCTTTGTTACGATTCTTGCTTTTACTCTACTCTTGATGTTTTGTGTGAACAGACATCATTAACGAAATTCACTAAATTGTGCCTGACCTAAGAACGTTACATATCTCACCACCATGTACCAAAGGGTAAAAAATAGCAGGCATATTAACATTTCCTGGATAAAAATTAAAAATACTCACATTCAGTTTCCATTGCAGCTAGTGCTGTAAATCTTCATATTTCTATCACGTGTCTGATGTGTACCATCATATATGGTAGAAGTCTGCGCACTGAAAGAAGAAGATATTATCTCTTCTGTTACTAGTTAAAAAATGCTTCAAAATATTATTCCAAATATTTTGCCGTTGTGTGGAAATTTTCATAAGTCTCTAAAAAATAAGGTTATGTTGGCTTATGACAATACACAATAGCAAGTTATCTGTCTACCGAACTCTTCTGCTGAATGGATTTTCATTTAATTTCGTATTGTTGAGGTTTATTAAAATTTGTCAGAACATGACAGTCGTTAAGATCTGACTGTAATAATTTATTTTTTCATGAAGACATACTCACATTTCTGCACACATCTCAAGTTTAACTCACATACAACCAGCTGAATATTTATTGGAGAAAATATTGTGAAGAATAAAATTTGTAGAAAAATTGAAATATGTTTTATGCCCAGTACATTTTTTTGGTAAGTATATTTGAGGGTGTGCACATTTCCCAACTTGTTTAATTAACTTGTTGTTCTATATATATGTTCATATCTTTCATATAATTCAGTCTTTGTGTCCAGAGTAAGTAAACTGTTGTAGTGGCAGGACACTGATGTAATTTGTACTTGTTCTAGGTGCATCCAGATGAGCTAACAGCAGTATCAAGCGCATCAGACTTTTCACAGATCCCCGAGGGGGGCTGCATGCTTCCATGTAACTACACACTGAAGTGTGGCCACACATGCCACAAGCAGTGTCACATCAGTGATCTACAGCATGATTCATACCAGTGCAAGCAACATCAGCAAGAGCACACCTGGTTGCCAACCACTTGAGAAGCACCGAGTCTTCTTGAGTCTAAGGATTGAATTTCATCATGTGAACAGAAGGCTCATTAGTTCCAGGTGTGATAATGTGATGGAGAGAAATGATACTGGACAGTTTTCACCTGTTGTCATTATCACTTTTAAACTATTTTCAGACTTTTTATTTGGGTTCAGTTCAAGTTTCAAGCTTTAACATATTTATGTACTTGTACTGCTTTTCATACACATGAAAGACCTTTCTTGCAGAACAAATTTTTATGTAATTTAATATTGGGGCTTCTTAACCTTTTCTATATGCCGCTGCTTACATGTTGTCCAGCTGGTCATGCATCACATTAGCATACCAATAACCCATTAACCCCTGGAGTTAATGTCTGGCTTGTAGTTCCATAATATGAGGGTTTTAACTACCTGTTACAATACACTCCATACAATAAAGTTTAAATTCCAAACCCTAAAGCTGGTTTTGATATAAACTATCCAGCCTAACATGCACGCATGCGCGCACTCGCATCATGCTGGGTGACTTTGTCTCACATGCAATTAAACGGTATTATTCACAAAAACAAAAAATATTTTGCACAACAAAATTTTATATAAGAAAACAGGACATCATTTAGTGAAAACTCCATTCTGCATTTTATATCATATACAGAAATTTGAACCTGCAGAATTGACAGAAGTTCATTCCCTTCCATTCGATATAGCTCATGTTAATGTCAGTAATGAATATTGAGACACGCCAACTGCGGAGTTTATCACTCGAAAATAAGACATTTACGTCCAAATTATGCCCTTAGCCTCATACTGTGACGGCAATATATATATATATATATATATATATTAATATGTTGTCTACATTTATTCATATAATTACCTGTTTGAAGAACATTCCTGTTGATATTGTGAATGGATTTACTGTTAAAACTTTCTAAACCATTCATCACACAACAGTAATATCAAAACACCTAATTTGGATACCACAGTGAGAGTGCACTTCATAAATACAAATAAGAAAGAATTTGAAACCATATTTAAGGCAGATTAAAGTTAAAAAGTGTTAGTACCCACATAACCATAAATGTTTGACCTGTCTTGTGTGTTCTTTATAGGCCTTGTTATTGACATACATTATTTTCATATTTTTATAAAGATACTGAGTAAATGTGAAAATGAAGATTCTAATGAGATAGCCTGGAGTTGGCAGCCAATGATGTGTGGGCAGGTATACTCTAAATACATTCATGCTTACTCCTGGATTGTCAGCTATGCATTGAGTTATGTAAATGACTAATATTTTGTGCCACCATGTACAAATACACCTTATAATGTGTAGATGTTTATTACCTTTTAATTTCTCTTTTGCTTGCAGAATGTTTTATGCCTTCACATGTTAGGCTGACACTTGTTAAAACTCCATAGCCATTTTCTCAAAGGTTTGTGATTCTGTATTCTTTGCTTTGCACTGGTGTTTTGGGAGATTTATTGTCCATTCTCTTATCTTTTGCATGTGGAATGAATATCTTCTTTTCTGCCTTTACTGATTACACTGAAGCTTGTTTGAACCTTGTAGCAATTTTCTGAATGGTGTATGATAGTGTAATCTTTGCTTTGGGAGCCCATTATTGTCCTTTTAATTATTCCCTCTGCTGAATAAATATTTACTTCCATCTGCACATTTTGGTGTTTAATTTGGTCTCTTGACTTCTCTTAAAATATCTGTTATGCTACTACAGTTACACCAACATTTTTCTTAAACTTTCACCTCAGTTTAAAGGTGCAGGGACTTCTGCTACTTATTTTCCATTCAGAATGGTCTGCAACAAGGAGATGCTTTAGAATACAGGAATATCAAAGAAAACAGAGGCCTGGGGATTGCACAGAACACATCACTTTCTATGTTCATGATAATTTATTGGGCGAAACAAAAATATCAAAGAAAAACACAGCTGTATTAAGTGCTACTAAGGAAACTGGTCTGTGATATATGAAGATAAAACATACTTGGTATTTCACGTTGTGGGAAGAACACTGATTGGAATGTCTGAGAAGATAATGCTTAAGAGAGTATTTGAAACTGAAAGGAATAACAAGACTGAAGGAAATTGCATATTGAGGAATTCCATAATTTCTCTTCACCAAGAATTAAGATGAGGAAATCAAGGATCAGATGGGTAGGGTACATAATGCACATTGTGAAGATGAATATTTGTAAGAGTTTGGTTGAAAAGTCAGAAAGTAAGAAGCCATTCAGAAGACCTAATTGTAAATGGGAAGATAATATTAAAATGGAGCTTGGGGAAATGGAGTTGGAGGATGTGGACTGAATTCATCTGACTCAGGAAAAGGACCAGTGTCAGACTCTTGTGAACATGGGAATAAGCCTTCAGGTTCCATAAAAGATGGAAAATTTCTTGATCATCTGAGCATACTATTGGCTTCTCAAGGAACCTGCTCCATTTAGTTTGTTCATTGCATTGTCTAGGCAGAAATTTCAGTTTTTGCCTCAATCATACAGTAACACAAATTAACTCTTACCTTAACTGCCAGCTGTCACACAGAAAATTAATGCAGACATGTACCTTCCAAGATCTTGCTAGCAAAATTAAGCTTAAACAGCATAAGGTTCATGTACAGTCTCACCAACGTGCTGATGTGAAAAACCATATAATTCTCAATATTCCCAGCTTTCCCCTCTCAGCTTATTCCTGCCCAATTTCCCCCCCCCCCCACCAAAGGGAATATCCTAGTTTGTTTCCCTTAATCATGTCTATACGTACGTCTTTGAAAGCTTACGTATGTAGAAAGCGGTATGCAGAATAAGAAGAATGGAAGAAAGTTCATACATTTATCACCATGCTGAATGATTCACACTCTATTTCTTGTACACAGCTTACATGCAAACTGATAAATTCATAAGAGTGAACATACATTATTTTTTTCTGTACAGCTGAAACTTGCTGACATCCATAGAATAATATTCCACTATAAGAATGTTATCTTCAGGGATATAATTAGTGACAAGAATTTTATAATCATGCAGTGTTAAGTCTCTTGTTGGTAACATCAAGATTGTTCCATGCACTTGCTGTTGTAAGTGATGACATTTTGCAAGCCTACATATACAGCAAGAACACGGTGAAGCAAAAAAGTTTGAGGGTTGCCAAGGCAAGCACTCTACAGATTGGGACCATCGTTAATGCAATTAAATGAAGGCATCACTGTCAATATCAGTTATATCAACAATCACAAGTATTATTAAAAATAAAATTAAAATTTTCAAGTGCTGCATTCTCTATTATGACTCACTCTCAGCCTCATTTTTCAAAAGTAACGATTGATTATGTATTAAAATACACATTCAAACCAGTACATTTCACTTCAAAGGCATAGTACCGTAGACTTACTTTTAAAACATAACTTACATAACTCTTAAATTAATCACAGTGAAAAACTGAACACCATACAATAAATCCACTTGCAAAAATCCAATTAATTCAATACAAAGCTAATAAGATAAGTAGTATTAAAATTCTATAAATGTAATTTTGAAAATGATTAACGAATTTACATAATTTCAAAACAAATATTGGCCATGAGGAAGTAAAATTAAGAGAGTCTGATTTATGTGCCTTTCTGAATCTTTCTTTGATAAAAATAATACATAAAAGAATGAGCACAAAAATTATAGTGGAACTTCTGTGCTGTGTATTTTATTACAAATCATGGTAAATCCTGTGTGTTTTCAGCAGTAGCATGGTCTGTTTCTACGACCTGTGTCTGCTGAAACGAGATATATGTTCTGAAATTTTCTCGGTCTTTTATGAAGTTTGTCTTCCGTGAGTAACATCTACAACATAAAGGAGAATCAAAAGAATAAACAACAATTAGTAATATTCAAGTACTGTAACAGTGCTCATGCAGTAGTTAACTACTGCTTTCTTTGTTTTGGACTTCGTCAATAATCTGTTGAATTTTTTTTTAAGTCTTAAAATTCACATTTCAAAGGATCTTCCTTTGTATTCAGGTAAAACGGAGATGCCTACTTTCTTGGATCCAATTGATCGGTATTGGGAATAGCTCAGTACCTTGAATATATGTAACTAGTGTTACTGCTTGGTTTACTTGCTTTCATTAATGCAAACATGTCTTTCATGAATTGGGAGTAATCTTGTATTAGTTGTTTCCTTCTTTATATAGAATGCCCAAGTTTCTTGAGTAGATCTTGAAGAACAAACAAGGTGTAAGGATTCATTCAGGATTCAACATATGGGCTGGTAGCAGGCTCTTGTATACATGGTAACATACATTCAGATTTTATAAAAGGCAGAAAATATCTTGACTAAACTGACTAGCTGACCAAGTATAGTAGCCATGAGTTTTTTTGTGAGTGATTCTGCTATATGAAGTAACTTCTATTATAAAATAATAACTTCTTCGTACCTTTAGGTAGTAGGTATATAAAACATTCATGCACAATATAAATTAACCATACTCTATATTTGTATTCAGAAAGAACTTCCTTTGAAACTCTCCAGAATTTAGACTAATGTCTGAGGTCTTCTCTGATTCTGCAGTCTTCAGGCATATACTAAAACTTTGTCTTGAAAATGACTGACTGTCAAAATTCTGTCCTGTGCATCATTCATGAATATATTTGAAGATTGCTGTATTTTGGGTTGTTGTGCTGTTGCCCTGATGATGAAGGCAGCATGACCTCTGAAACCTTGGTGGACATCTACCAGACTACACGGCACAACCCAGAAGACAGCAATATTTAAACTCACCACTGTGAAAACCTCATATCTTACATGATTATATTTGCATTTCTGAAGTTGAAACAGAGATATAATTGACATAAGAATAATTCAATTAGTCTGTTTTCATACATTGGTCTGTCTCACTTCAGTTTTAAGTTAGCCCAACCCCCAGGCTGGAGGACTATCCCTCGTCAGCTGTCCATGGCTTGTCCTTTAGTATATTCACAGTTACCATTCATATCTGGTTACCGTTTCCTCCATTTTCAATTTGAGGATGCAACGCACCAAATCATTGTGACAAAGGATCCACATAATGTTTGGACAGACTAAAATAAATTGCATATAAAAACAGTGTTGTGTCCTACATCCAAAAATCGACTCACCTGAGAAATGAGACACTGAAAAGCATCATCAATGTGAAGGTTATTTTTTGCTGAGGTTTCAAACCAAGTAGTGTAACCATGGTCTGTGACATACTCATCGATCTTATCATGGTCTTCTATTTCTTGCAAGTCACACTGAAATTAAAAATTAAGGTTATAATTCAAATTAATAAAACTTCCATCAACACCATGAATACCACTACATGAATTCTTCCTCATCCAAAGTATATTTCTTTAACATTGGAACCACAAATTAACAAAAATATAATCTAATTGCATGCAAACTTTTCCTTTCCAACGTAACTTGTAGACAAAATTATTCAAAGTATATTACACTAGACAGAACAGTCTTGTATCAATTTGTGAATTGACCATAAAATATATTCATTTGATATCTATCTGTAATCTTGTTAAAACTATATGTATATAAAAAATGTTTGCCTGCCAGATGGTTAAAAACATCAAGACTGCTATCTTCTGGGATGTACTGTGTAAGTTTTGTGGTTGTTATAGCAGTATTTCAGAGGAACATTTTACCTCATGGTTTTAGTACATTTTGGTTCACATTTCTATGAGAACCAAAAACTGCATAAAACACACAATTAATAGCCTAATTTATCTTGAATCTTCAGTTGCTATAAGAAGGCAGTGTCTTCAACTACTCGACAGATATGTAATTTAACAATACTGTCTAAAGTGTAAAAGTTACCAAATGAGGAGGGAAGATGATCATTAGAAATAGGAAGAAAACAATCAAAGCATATTTCAAGGTACTATATTACTAGGAAACCATGCAAAGCCACTAATATCCTTATCTAACTGTCCAATAACACAGCAGAGATTCAAATTCAGTATTTCTCTGAAGTTTGGTAGGTTGATCAGATTGTCAGCTTAGATGTATTTAGTCAAGTCTGTCCATTTTTTTATCCATTGTTGCAGGCTCACCTTATTTGCCAGTAGTATGCATGGTACAGCACTATCATTTAATTGTGCTGTTTTCGTTTCCAGTTGATTCTTCCACTTGGTAACTTCCTTAAATGTTCCATATCTTGTTATATCAAATACAATGATTGCTCCAGATGCATTCTTGTAATATGCAGATGCCATGTCTCCAGTTTGCTCCTCCCCTACATTTAATGAAATATTTCAGATGTACATAAATGTATTATTATAGAATGTTTATAACAATTACATCACTATGAACTAGCAACTGAACAGTTCCACAGAATCGAAGGTTTCCAGGAAGTAGTCTCTACGATTGAAAACGTGAACCTGCTGCCTTTCATATTTCCTCATAATTTGACACTTTTATATCTCGGTCTTGGTTACAAGCTGGGATGAGTTAGATTAAATTTTATTTAGTCCATTTAATTGAGGTTATGTTTGTCCATTTTAAAAACTGTATCTATGAACATTGTCATTGTTCTTCACCTTGTCTTTTTTAAGGATGAGGCCTTCTGGCCTGTTCTAATTACTACGGAATTATTTATATTTTGAGCATTCAGTATGTTGTTGTAGGAGTCTGACCATCACAAGGCCAATATGTACACAGGAGAAACAACAAAGAAAACAGACAGGTGGATGCAGTGAGTGGGATTCAAATTCATGATCCTAGTGTCTGAGCATATGCCTTAGACTGCACGGCCATTGTGATCAGTAAGATTATTGAAAGGAATTTTGATTTAATTTTTAAATAGTTATAATAAACAAATAGCTTTCCTGTCTTCTTTACAGTCTCAAAAGTCAACATTTCTTTTGACAAGATGTTTCAGTTTTTATTTTTTTAGTTTAATTACAGAAACATGTATGTTCTAAGCACCACAATTATCATACATATGTTTTCAATAAAAATTAAAAATATTTGTTCTCTGTCTTAAGAAATGTCTTATTTTGTTTATTGCACAAACTTTGTCACAGTCTTCCAAGACAAATATCACCAGTCTGTTGTAATACAGACCACAATTGGTGCATACTGTGAGTGTCAAAAATCCCTGCCACATAAACCAAAATAATAACTAATATTGAATTATCAGTGCTGATGAGAACATCTAAGGAGTACAAATGCTGATCAGTGCCATATTCTGTTTCTCAATTTTTTGAGTGTTGGTGCACAACACAATCTGGCTCCTCCATTTCATGCCTGAAAAAGAGGATTAAACTTGTTGGGCATGGGACAAACCAAATTATTAGAACACAGTCATACCTGCAGTATCCCAGATATGGAGTTTTACCACTTTGTTTTTGTTGTACTTTTCAACCTTCAAGGCATAGTCAGCTCCAATGTTGGCAGGATGTTGCTCTGAGAAGTAGTTGTAAACATATTGCTTGATGATAGACGTCTTGCCAACACCACTTTCTCCAATAATCAAAACCTTGAAGAGGTGGTCTTGCAGTGTGGACTGTTAGAAACAAGCAATATTACTTCCTCTATGGAGCAGAGTCCTTCTTGAGAAACTGATTCTCTCTCAGCTGTTTAAGAAATTCCACGTCTTTTATGTAATGTAACATGAAGATTATAGTGTATGATCCCAACCCTTCATCCTATTTTGGGCCAGTTTAGTGCAGTCTACTCGTCATACCATCTTTCCTTAGCATAAATTTTAATATTATACTCCTACCTACACCTTGGTATAACTAGTAGCTTCTTCTCTTTAGGATTTGTATTTAAAGTTTTGTATGAATTTCTCATCCCTGTCATACATTCTAAATGGCCTGCTCATCTCATTGATTTAATCAATCTAATAATATTTGATTAAGAGTGAAAAATTATAAATCTTACAAACATATCCACCACCGTGAAAACCTCAAACCTCATATTATCATGTAAGTTTTAGATGCATCTGCATCCCTTCATTGAACCTATTAAAATTTATCTGTCTGTCAGTCCATCTGTCTACAAATAAACCATCTTGAGAATGGCTAAACAGATTTTTATTGAATTTGTGGCAAGTTTTCTGAAAAACTGTCGAGGCTTTTCAAATTTTGGTTGAAGTTGGCCGACAACAATGGGAACTTTAGGCTCGATGCACACGAGCGAGAAAATGTCGCGCGAGCTCGCAGCGAGGAAACCCGTGACAGTGCACACGTAGCGTCATCGCTGCGAGTTCGCCGAAAAACTCCCACCAGTACTAGATTGGATGGCAACCAAAATGGATGAGTACAGAAAAAAACGTGTAGTGTTTGCCTATTTCGTTTATGAATACATCCTTAAAAAACGCAATAGGAAGTATTGGACACACACGTTCTTTAGTTCACGGCTGTTAAAAGGGGCGTTCGCGACAATGTTTACAGATTTAAGAGAAGATGAAAGTAAATTTCATAATTATTTTCCTATGAGTATAAAGTCGTTTGATGAGCTAGTAGCAAAACTGGATGCATCCATCAAAAGTAAAGATTCTGCGATGAGGCTTGCAATACCTCCTCTAGAAATGCTGGTTGTGACTGAGCTGTTGCGAGGGTTGCGAAGCACGTGTGCACTGCCCAATGCTTTCACACAGTCTGCTGCTTCGCGGCGATCGGCGAACTCGCGGCGTCACCGCCATAGTGTGCATTGCTCCATTGCTTCACATGTACTGCTAAAACGCGCGAGAAAATGACGCGGCGAGCTCGCGAAAATAACTCGCTCGTGTGCATCGAGCCTTACATGAACACCTGTACTAGGCTGTACACGAATCACTAGAACAACGGGTACGCCCTTTTCAAAGTCTGAAATCGAACCAAGGACCTGAATATTAGGCTAGTATGTAACCACTTGACCGCAGAGTGGCCCTTTTATATTAGTGGCAACGGCTGGTATCGAAACCGGCACAGACTACCACGGTGTCCTCTTCCATTAGACACCTTTCGCATCCCTACAGAACTCGGAGAAATGTCCGTTTGGAGAATCCCGTCGGAGCCAATCAAAGAGGCCAAATTCCAGTTTCCTGTATTAATCACACAGTTCTTCGTTAAAGAGTAACCTAAATTACTCGCTAAATCCTTGTCAGGTCCAAATATTTTATTGAGCACTCTTTTTGCCAGCACTTTCTCGAACAACGAGGTCATTCTTTAGCACGCACGCAACTGGCAATATAATTTTGTTGGGTATAACTTGCTCTTCAGCGTTTTAAACTAAATGGTAGTCTTCAAATTAAACAATATGAAATTTACAGGTGTGTTCCTAATTGCATTATGAATCTACTGTAAATTTAATAGCATTCTTCGCAAATACTATAGTTTTTAAACATTCTCGAGTGGTTTATTACGCACGATTTGGTTATATTATGGAACTTACATCGCTACCGTAGTCTTGAAGTGGTCTGCACGTCACGACCCCAGAGCCTTGCTGGCTGATTATCTTCTTCCTCTGGACGGCAGTAGTCGACTTGTCACTAATAGGTAGGTTCAACGCAGACCTCCCAGTTACACAATGCACCTGACCCTCATACGATTCCTTTTTCAATTTCTGTTCCTTCGTTCTACCACTCGCAGAAGACGTATATGTAATGTGGTCAATCTCACTATCAGTTCGCTTTCCTGGTTCGACTCCACTTCCTTGCGATGGAGATCGTTGTGGGTGTTCTGAAGATCCCGATGACTCGAAATAATGTTTCGGCATCTTGGTTTGATAAAATTCTATAGGCGATCGGGTGTTGCTTTATTAAAACTACGTTTTCTGTGGCCGTTTCTATTGCACGAATTTGTTTAACAATGCCACAACCCCTGCCCGAATTCTTAAAACCGTAAGTCAAATTGAGCAACAACAAAACACTTGGTAAATTACAAAAAGTCTCCGCTAATTATTAGGGCGACTTTGTAAGAATTTATAATAAAAAAACTCAGTATGATGCCATTATACAAACGGATCAGCACACGCAATGAATTCACTCTGTTTGCAGGTTCTGCTGCCTAGATGAAAGACACCGAGACTGAGTTTCAGACCTTGAAGACTTCACGAGCTATGACGTAGAGGTAGGGGTGGGTTAGGTGAGGGTGTGTAACAACAAGATATAAGAGATAAAATAGGTCTACGTATTGGAAAATAGGCTTACATGTACCTAAATAAAGTCACACGGATAAAATGCCATGCTCAAGATTTGTTATAGAAAATGCTTATTTTGTTTATGTTTTTACTAGGAACTGATCAAAATGTCGCTTGATTTCATTTAGCGAAACGCAGATTATGATAAGTAGTAAGAAGGAAGGGGCAGGTGGTAAGGAGGAAGAACAAACGCAGGAAACTTAGAAAAGTAGTTATGTCATAAATCAGCCTCAGATGAGTAAAAATGTCAGTTACATTGCAATTTAGGCCTATTTAACGAGATGTAAGTTTTTCAGACCATATATGTCTACTTCAGTACTAAAGGCAATTTATTATGCTTTTTTTCATTCCTTAATGAGCTATGGCATCATCTTCTGGGGAAATTCATCTCATAGTTACACTATTTTTCTCCTTCAGAAAAAGGCAATTAGAACAATGATGGGATGTGGCAATAGAGTCTCGTGTAGAAATATATTCAAAGAATTAGATATTTTGCCGTTGGCATCACAATATATATTTTCTTTATCATTGTTTGTATTACAAAACAAAACTCTTTTTCCATCAAACATTGACTCTCATACTATTGATACTAGACAGAGACAAAATTTGTATCTACCTCAAGCTAATCTAACTATTTATCAGAAAGGAGTTCATTATGCGGGTATAAAGATATTTAATAAATTACCCATAGAGATTAAGAATACCTCAAATAATCTTAAAAAGTTCAAGGTTGCATTAAGGCATTTTTTAATTACTCACTCGTTTTATACTGTGGATGAGTACCTAACTGGATAACTATTACAATAAAAAATACTAGTTATATTGTTTTGTATTTAGTACACTGCTTGTCTAGATGTAATTCTTTAATGTATGGATTTTATGCTTTTATACTTGAGTTTGTGACGTGTTCTATATCCACTATTGGATTTCTGGAACTTGTAAATAAATAAAATAGCGTCAGATGACAATCACTAATACATTTGTAAGGATATGAAGGGAAGCAGTCGTGCCTTAATTTAAAGTACTATTAAGGAATTTGTCGGTAGACTGAGGAAAACCACGAAGAATAGCCAGGGTAGCAGGTTTCTGGACCGACATTTAAACACTGGGACCTCTGGAATACGAAGCAGGAGTACTAACCACTTGATCTTGACATCTGGTAAAAATGAAATGGAACAACAAATTTTATGGAGGCTTCCTGCAACAATCTGATTAAACAGTTTATGTTCACGGCAAGGGTCAAGCAATAATAAAAAAAAGCATTTGGAAATCGTTACGCAGCAACAACTTAAAAACCATTCGACCATCTACAAGTACAGATTTACGTCCCACTAAAACACTTAATCCGAAGGCTCCATAGGGGCCTTCTTAATAATGTTCAAAGGCTTAATGAAGTCATATGCGGGAGTAGAGCACAGCTCCGCATATTCAAAATCTCTGCACTAAATGGAGGAGTGATCAGTTTCATGTTCTGACCATTTGGCCCCTGAGGAAAGAGCCCCTAGTACTCACTGGACAGCAGGTGTGTGGATCCCACAGCCAGTTGGGTTGTAGTGGTGGAGAAAAATCCCTGAACCCCGGCAATCCAGCAGTCACTAGACTGACCCAACTTTTGATTCTTGGACCAGGTTAAATGTTATAATATGCCTTGTAATAATCAGTGGCCACGCGGTCTGAGGCATGATCCTCCTGTGCCTGGTCGCTGCGACCGTGGGTTCGAGTCCCACTCAGTTTGGCTTAACATGTCAATCATGCAACACGTAACTATCCTAATAATTACCATCATTTCAGAAAAAACAATTTCTTGCTCATATATTTTAATTACTTTCTCCTGATTTCATAGGAAATGAAGGGAAAAACTTTAATATTTTAAAGAATTTATAACTAAAACTTGCACAGATTTTCATGCAGCAAGTAAAATAACTAATGACAGACTTCTTTATCAGCACTTCTTAATCTTCAGTTTCTATTACCGGCTAGTTAACTGGATGAGGTCATCATCGGAGCCCATTTACAAACACTGGAATGGCATATCCTTATGTATTTTCCTAACAAGTTTAATTTCTCAATGAAATATTAAAAATGTACACACATTTTAAACAATGTGTCACTATATGTATATAAGAAGGGGTATCACAGGTTCAATGCACAAAAAAAACAAAACAAGTACTTTAAAGTGCTAAACAATTTGATGTTGGGTCGTACATAAAAGCAGAAAAGCAAGGACCATTTTATACATATATTTTTGTATGAAATGGGAACTCAGCAACAATTTATTTTAACAATCATCAGCATAACAACAGACTGTACCATTTACCAAAAAGAGACCTTTTCTTTAGACTAGTAGGCCGCTTTTCTCTTGCTCCGCCTCCAGACACCAAGGAAACCAATAAAATGTAGTACAATATAGAAAACAGCAAGTACCACAAGGTCTCTGAACAAGTTCTCAGTATTAAATCCATATTCATCCAACACTTGCTGACCATTTTCAAGACATGGCAAGTTCGTGTTGTTTCGACACACTGTAAATAAACAGTAGACAATAAATTAATTGTGCATTATCTCTGATCAGTAAAAATAATAATTCAATGTAAACACAATTCTCAAGGCATTTGGTGTGGTCGCCCAACACCAACAGATGGCTCACAGCAGCTCTCACTGTTCTGTAACAGATGCTACCGAAACGCCAAAAATCATTTCCAGATATAACATTGATTATTGACACACATTTATAGTAAGCATTCTCTTTTCCAATTTTCAGTCTCTCTACCATGGCTGTAATGGCCCTGAGTGAGAACAGTCCAAGAACTCCTATACACGTCACAATTGGTACTTACTGATATAATCAACTTCCTGCCAGTGTACAACTGCCAATGCCTCATTGGAATAATAAAACTGAGACAGATATTTCATCCAAGTGATTGAAGCAGGTAAAGCCCTATAAAAATGATATCAGATTGTAGTATTAAGTCATAAAATCCAGAGACATAAATAAGTTTGGATACAATTCATGATCAATTATCTAACACAAGTAAAAACATTTCTCTGCATGATCACACTGAAGTTCAACATGTTTTCCATCACTGAACATGCATCATAAATCCAGCTGCATACAAGTTCTTGAAAGCCTTTGCAAAATAAAACATCTCACTGAAAATACTATTCTTGTTCAAACTTCTAGCGGCAGCTCGGCCCAGGCTATAAAATCATGCGACATTTCTGCCATCATCAAAAATTGACTTCAGATCTTCCAGAAATGCACAAAACATTCTACGTGTACCATGCAATGTGCTACATCTCACTATTATATTCTAGGCACAACAATACAAGTATTTCTGTACTTTATACTATATTCCTCTTATACAAAAAAAGATATTATACAATAGGAATTTTCATGGTTTTACTCCTTACCAAGTAATATTAGGATGACTGAATAGAGGAAGAGCTATATATTAAATGTACGGGGAGAAAAACAACAAATATATAATTGATAAAGACTTAGAAAACAAATATATGTATATAAGAGAATGTTCTGTCTTCAAGTTTATTTAAAAAGTTGCGACTAACACAGTACCAGATAATGATGTATCTTTACCTGACATTGTAAAATATTCCAGCCATTATAAATGAAATTAAATCAATTGGAACTGCAGCCACTGATGCCATGGCAGGAGACTCAAATACTGCTGACAGCATGCAACCTGATCAACACATAAATCAAATGATGTGGCACATTGGAGTGCAGACTCAGTTAAAGTCTGTGCTTCCATAAACTACATATGTAATATTCCAATATATAAGTTTATCTACCTATCTATCTGTCATCTGGGAACAACACTAACAAACATAATGTGAAGGTGAATGCAGGCAAAGATTAACTCTGGAAAAGCCTATATTATTCATTTCAAGAACAGAATTGAATACAATTTTTTCTTTCAGAAAGTAAACAACACATTTTTACACTAAAACATTTCACTTGAAGACAAAAATGAAAGGATCCCTATTACCACTATTAATCATAAAAAATTCAAATTTATTTACCATAAGCTGTGGCAGAGTTGGAAACAATAACTACTGGTACAGCCATTAAAAAAAACATATTTAAATCCCCTCTGGAAAAGTCAACCACTCCAAAGATAATAACAAGATATAATATAGGTTCAATAACTGCCCTTGGTATCTGAAACAGATAAATAAAACAAGGTTCATCCTGTCAAAATCACACATTACGTTAAAATAGTACACCTTTTTCAATGCTGCAGCAAGAACTAAAACTATATTAATTGTGGAGTTATTTAACATGTTTACCAAAATAAGATCTTGCAGACTTTCTTTGCTACACACACTTTTGCCAAATATTCTCCAATATTTGACATAAAGCAAAAATTACTTTATTTATACACTTCACTTCCACAACTACTGACAAAACGTAGAGCCTGAATATCCATGTCATGTCACAGGATGGTATCCAGTGACAAGACCTTGTAAACACAGTATCGAATATTCAGGTTCCATAAACGGTGAACAAATTTTTAAACCACATGACCCTGCTATATAGTGCTAGTCCTTTACAGCAAGAAAATGACATAAGGAGCAATAATGCAAAGGCACTCTTACCAGTGTTATCATCTTTGAAAAATAATATGCAGAGGCTGAATACAATTCTGATTCCCTGAGAAATATAGGTATTTCCTGAGGGAATGTATTGAAAACAGAGTAAGCACTAGTGAAGAACACTTCACTTGTTATGAGGTACAAAAGTCCACGAATATCCTGAATCCAACTTTGAGTTCCAGCTTCTGTGTTCATAAAACACAATGAAAGCATCAGTGATGTCACCTGAAACAAACTGTATGTTCTTAACACAGTATTTTCTAGTCCAACATTCTTTTCAACAAAGTATGATAATGTTCCAGTTATATTCATTTCCCTTTATGCTCTACTGGCTAAAAATAAAACTAACACTGCATATATTTCTAAACTACTACTTGTTATGCAACAATGAGAACCCTTAGATCCCACTGTTTCTAAAAAATGGGTTTCAACAATGGTACCTCTGGGCCCACTGCTGCAAAAAAATGATAGACAGACAGACAGACATGGCATTCTTCATCCACATTAAAAAAACTTAAATCCCTGGCGTAACAGCTCCAGAGAGCCAAAGCTGACTAGCTTGACTTCTGGCCTCACGTTCACATGCCTAAGCAGAGGTGAATGATCATCCAACCAGATACAGGGTGACGTGTGATCAGCACGACGAACCCCCAGCCATTGCTAGCTTTCCTGACCGGATTATGCTACTCATTGTAGCTCCCCAATTTCCTCACGATGCTGGGTTGGCACCGGTCCCATACACGGGTCAAAAGCTCATGAGAAAATTTCTTCTCCCCCCCGAAAATTCAACCAGCGCGCATTGCGTATTGCCGGTCTGAAGCATGATGCCTCAGACCGCACGGCTACGGCACGGGACTCTTCATCCACATTAGAATGTGAAAAACACCGTATGTCTGTGTCTATCACAGAAAATAAGCAACCTGTAGTTTAACTGCATATTACAAGGAAATGATGGTTTTAATTTGAATTATATTCAATTCAACCTACACAAAAAGTAATAAAAATCAGAGCACTATAGAAGATAAACGTACCAGAAATACTGCAATTTGAACAATATGGCTACATTTATTGTGACTGGAATCCACAACGGAACGCCACGTAAGCCAGTATACTTGTGTGTGCCAGTAAGGTTTACGACTAGAAAACAAAGTACATCATAAAAACCCTTTATCATTTGGATGTTTATTCACTGTCATGAAACCAATCTAAGTATTACAACAGATACATATCTCCTTCAAGATGGCTGCCTTCTGGGATGTTGCATCTTATAGTCTGGTAGATATTGATTGACATTTCAGAGGTACTTGCTGCCTCCATCATTAGGGCAGTCATCGCAACAGCCCAGAAGCCAGCCAACGTTACAGACTTCAAATATCCCATATTTCCTTACTTTCACAAGATTTTTATAGGGATTGTACTTCAGCAGAAATTCTATAGACATAAATCATAATAATACTCTACCTCTATTGGATACCTCATTAAAACACACAAACTACTGTATGCAATATAACTTACTAGAAACAACTAAAGCATTACTATGGCCCACACCACAAATTTGTACAAGGTATGAGCAAATCTCTGCACATTCTCAACCACAGAATAAAACAGGGGTGACAGTGAAAAATGTGTCCTGGTTACTGGTACACACTGGATAGACTCCAGAGGTAATGAAGGTCAAAATTCATCATCTCTGACAAGAATAAACCTGGGACATTAAGTCCACTCCAAACACTTTAGTCCCTAACAGCAACAAATCAATAAAACACAAAAATAAAAAAATACTCACATTGTTACATACTTCTGAAAATCACGTGATAGCTGTGAAAGAAAGAAAGAAATGGATTTAAATGAGAATTTAATCTTTAAATCTTGAATTGATATAAGACAACATGTATTTTGAGAAAGACATTTCAACACTGACATCTGCCTGCTAATATAAACAAAGTACACAGAAACTGTACAAAAGTAGTCTGTAAAATATCCTTTACTAACCCCTTAACTGTCAAGTACTCTCTTCAGTGATTGTGCCTGGTTCAGGTTGGTCTGTTTCAGCATTAACTTAGGGAGTCTATCTCTTAGCACTGAGTCAATATGACAAATCCATTTTGTTTCACAGCCTAAAATGTTGATCAATGTAAGCTCAATCTTTAGTTTATCTGAAATGTCAATTTACACCAGACTACATGGTGCAACATTCCAGAAGACAGTCATATTTATACTCACCACTCTGAGAACCTAAATTATCACAATTCTGTCCCATATTTAGTCCCGAAATTTCCCATCCACAAACTGCATTTGCAGAACAAGAAGTCTCTGAAAACCAACTATTACTTGTTGAAGAAAGTTGGAGAGAGGAATGAGAAAGGAACATACATTTATCACACTTTTGTTTTACGGAACAAAACACAATGAAAATGCATAATTCCATAACAAGAAAATATGACTGCTCCAAGTCTATTGTGTTATGCATCTCACCCCAGTGATACAGTTGCGAGCCACTTGGATGTGAGGCACAGAAAGCTGTAAACTCCGGTCCTGTTCTAATGTGCTGAAAGCCTCACATATTTGATTCATCCTTTGAGAACTATCCTCCTCCTCTCCCGGGATGACAGACAGTTTCTGGATGAAAAATTCTGCTGGATTGTAAGATGGTGGACACACAAATCCTTGGCTAATGGAAGAAAATATATGCAAACATTAACCTCCAATTACTAATAAGCTGAAATATCTAAAGTAAACTTTACAGAAATATTTACAAACAATATTAGGCAAATTAAAAAAAAATTAACTTCCATATTGCAAACCTTCAAACTGGATCATCTCATTCACCAGAAAAACTAGTCCTATGAAACCATTCATTTGCAGAGAATGAATGGTTTCTTGACCAGCTGTATATCAGATAGCGTTAGTAGGTCAGTCTGTCTTGATGTTTATAGGGCTGGTTCTGCAATGCATTAAAATATACAACCTAACTGAGTACTGTCTTACTTTGAAAAGAATGTGTAAGCATGCTCGAGTGTGCCCTGAAAAGCCACGCGCCCTGCAGATAACAGGATCATCTTGTGGAAACAGCTGAGGATGTCAGATGTTGGCTGATGGATAGAGCAGAGAACAGCCTTGCCCCTTGAAGCTAGGTGATTCAGTTTCTCCACTACAGTGGATGCATTATAGCTGTCGAGCCCAGTCGTGGGTTCATCGCAGAAAAGAAGTGGTGGATCTATCAACAGCTGTTGAAAATAATACTTTAGTTCTCAAAGACAGTAAGGTAATGGACCTTTACATTTCATACAAAGAAAGAAACACAATAAAAAAACTGTCACTTAATATCACTTTGTGCCTTGTTTATTGTTCAAGTTTCGTAAACTGAACACGCGATTACATTCAAATTTTAAAAAGGAATATCAGTAAGGCAACTCTAGGTAACAGCATACCTCCACAGCCAGAGACAACCGCTTACGCTCTCCTCCGGACAAAGCTGAAATGGGAGTATCTTCACATCCAGACAGGTTCAGATCAAGTAACAGATCCTGAATCCATTTACTGCGTATGTCACTACGCAGCCCTCTATCCAGGCGCATCCATGACTGAAAATTACAAAGCAAGGATACATTATTCACTCATTTTACCATTCTTTTAAATCTCAAGACAAATTCAGAATTTCCAGAATGTGCCCAACATTTCTACTTTGACATAACTGTGTATACAGATGTAACACCTTTTGGAACCATGTACCTACATTATTAGTCGCCCTCAGTGGACTAGTGGTTAGCGTGCTCACCACTGGACCCAAGGTTTGCAGGGTCAAACCCGGCTGAGGACAAATGATTTTTAAGGGTGATAAAAATCCATAGCACAACTTCCTTTGGAGGGGAAGTAAAGCCGGCGGTCCCATGTCATAGATTTATGGCATGTAAAAGAACCTTTCGAGCATGAACGAGATGTTTTGTAAGCAAAATTCAGTGGTCATTTACCCAAGTCTCCTGATTCAGTGCTAGATGACTCTGGCAGTCAAATCAGGATTGAGTAGAAATTGTGCAGAGTCAGTAGGCTGGTCACTCACTACTCACAAATGCACACTTCAAAGATCAAGAAACCTCCAAAAAGGAGGTTGTGAAAACCACAACTAGGTTGCAGAGCCAAGGAACAACAACAACCTACATTATTAACATTTTCAGAGCCAAATTATTACTTCTAAAAGATTTCAGCAAATTTTCCAATGGAAAGTACATATCTTGAACAGGGTCTACCTAAGCCTGCAATAAACTTTCCCTTGAAAGTGTTTAACACAGTCCTTAAAATTTACTATGTCAAATAGTGTTATATAATGATTAAATATGAGTAACACAAGGTGTAAAAAATGTCCCAATATCCACAAGAGAGTTTGTTTATGATTACCTCTCTTTTAATACTCCTGTAATTTTAATTTTAAGGTGTTTACCCTATA